AGCTCCCTGGCTGGAGATCAAACTCAGGCTGTAGTGGTGATAGTGCTGAGACTATACCCCTAGGCCACCAGGGAGGCCCTTCCTCTTTGCTCTACATTCTCTCAAAGAGCAAGTCTGTTTGCTAATGGGGCTTCCATACCCACCAGTTGACTTGTCCAGCCCTAACTTCTCTCCTGGTATCTAGATCCCTCCTTCAGAGCTGACTGCTACATATATCCACAGGACTGGTCCACTGGCATCTCAAAAGTCAACCAGCATGTCTCAGACTGTGGAGCACTGGAAAGAACCCCAAAGACCTGGACTTGAATCCGAACTCTGTTCTTTATCTGAGAAACTTTGCGCACACCACTAAATCTCTCTGTGTCTCAGTTTCCTCATTTCCCCAAATGGGCATGCTGATACCTATCCCTTGTATAAGGTAGAATAATCAACATGGAACTTGGTGAACTGTATATAGTGTGCTTTTAAAATGTGCTCCTTTCGCTTTGTTTCCTGACACGAACAAAGAGAGGTTCAAAGGAGGGGAACCTGTCTCCTCTTCCTCACGGGGGCAGAGAACACCTGGTTGAACCACAAGTGAAGATAGTGCTTGGGCATCTCTGCTCCTTTCTCTCCTCAGTGCCGCCTGCCTCTTTCAGGCCCTTGTATTCTAACGTAGATCCTTGTCTTAGGCTCTAGACTTCCCAAGTTATTCTCCACACTGAAATTGTTTTCCTAGAACCCAAATTACACTAGACTATTCTTCTATTATTACACTTCTACTATTACACTTGCGAGGATTCTCATGTCACCAGAATAAAACCCAAACTCCACTCAGCTCTCAGCATCCCTACCATAACTTTCTGCTTCTAAGCATAGCACCTGCCTCTCTCCAGGTATGTTTCTCCCCACCACTCTCCATGTAGCTAAGTTTTTTCATCTTTCTAGGTCATATTCAATGGTACCTTTTCCACAAGCCTGTCCCAACACCCTGTCAGAAGTAGTCATTTCTTTCTCTGCACTTCCAAGACTCACTGTTCTCTTTGTGCCAAACACACATGGTCTTGTAGGCTATTTAGGTGTGGCTGTGTCTGTCTCACACCAAATTGTGTACTCTCTAATATGGGCTAAGATCATGATGTTATTTTTCTCTGCTGCACATAGTAGGTGGTCATGAAGTATTTGTTAAATTGAACTGACTATCACCACATTTCGATCTTAACAATTGAATTTATCCTGTGTCTGAACAGTGATGCTTACACCACTATAATGAGGTGACATCCTTTTATTTAAGGGAAAAGAATAGAAATATTTTCTCTACGAGCTCCAGTTCCGCACTTACAATTGCCCAGCAACAGTTCCATTACGTAGTCTCACAGTTTATTTATTCAATACTTTTAGGTGCATGTTCTGAATCTGGCTCTGTCAGAGATATTAGATAGAAAGAGAAATAATAACATACAAAAATATTATTTTAAAAAATAATGTTCTTAAGAGCTTGAAGTTTTATGAGAGAAACACGCACAAAAAGTTATATGTTCCAGTAAGTGTATTGAGGAGATATGAAAGGTGCCATGGGAAAATGGAAGAGAGACATTCACAATAAACTCTCTCTTCTTCTCCCCCAGATATGCATAGGTGGAGTGGAGGAGACACAGCAGGGACACAGGGCCCTAAGCTTCCTGGCTTGCCACCTGGCCAGTTGTTAAACCTTCAGTGCCCATTTGTTCTGGTAGAAGCTGCAAGCGATAAGACCTTAGTATGGCAAGAATGACTATAAAGAACAAAGTAATTTATGCAGAATGTATTTTCAAGCTATATGTAAACTACAATGATAAATATACATTTATGCCTGTATATTGTACTACGAAGCCATCCCCCCAACTTTCCTATACCCACAAATGGTCCTGTTAGCCCCCAGTTCAGCCCAAGTCAGAATCAGAATCTCAAAACCATCTTCGATGTGTTCTTCTTCACCCTTCACACCAGTGTCACCAAGTCCTGTCTGTCTGCCTTGTCACCTTATTCCTTGCATCCTGTTTTTCCTCTTCCTTTTCCATCTCATCACAGCCTCATGCCATCCTTGTCATAGTGCCTCACACTTGGGCTGTTGTGACAGCCTCTGCTGCCTGTCTCTCTCAGCTCCTTTCTTTCTAAATCTCAGATGTCTCTTCCTAAAAGATGGCATTCTTTATGTCTTGCCACTGCACAAATAAATTAAATTTCCTCCTTATTCCTACAAGCCAAAGTCCAAACCTTATAGTTTGGCAGGTATGGCTCTGGGAAATTTGACCCTTTATCCAAACCTGTAATGTGAAATGGTTAGGGTATCTCCAGAACAGACTGTTTAAGTCCAACAACACACATAACTCATTTTCTGGCCTCTCCAAGCCTGAGGGGGAGAGGGTGGGAAGGAGTGGACATCCATATAAGAAGTGCAATTACAGTTTTGTGAGACAGATGCCATTTCACCCACTGGGAGTAGGCTTCCCCTCTCAGCCACCCTTCAGTACCATTCTCACAGCACATCTCCTCCTGGAGGTCTTCCCTGATTTTACCTTCTCCTTTATAGCACTCACTCATCAGTGCTTCTTAAACCTGGGACTTAGCTCATGAGATTTTGACTCAGTAGATCTGGGAGAGGGCCAGAGAATTGACAAGTCTAAGAGGCTCTGATGACAAGGGTCTGGAGACTTCCCTTTGATACCACCACTATGGATTATCTTGTACTAGTACTTATACTTCCACTTCTAAGTCTTTGTGGGCAGAAAACCTACTTCTGTCTCTTTGTGGATCACCCCCCAAAAGCCAGGATTTGATAGCCTGGCACATAAAGTGCTCCCCAAATTTCACTTTTATTCATTCAGAGGACTCTACTATCTATGTTCTCACTTGGTGCTGACAACAGCCCTACCAGGAAGGGAGAGAGGGCCTTTCTTGCAGAATGATCAGGAGAGAAAGTCACCAGAGCTGAGAGTGGCTGGTGCCCACTTGGGTGGGAAGCTGTGGGGCCATTGGCAGGGTCACTATAAACATGGCCTCCCTGGTACTGGTTCTCTGGTTCTTTGGGTCATAATGATTTTAAACCCACTTTCCCCTTCTCCTAGGAAGGGACTAACATTTACTGAGCAGTTTCTCTGCAATTTTTGGACTGGGGGGGTGTACACATAGTTCTCAGGGGTCTGGAGAAGTACAGTAATTGGCCCCTAGTTCTACATGTGTCGAATACAGAGGACCTGGCATCCAATTTTTTGTGGTCAGTTGCATAGCACAGAAGAGGCAGCAATGGCCAGATAAATTGGGAGAAAGCGACTTTATATGTATTGGAGGCCCATTATGTGTCCAGACGTTTTTCACCTACATAGTCTCATTCCTCACCATTAGCCTCCAAAGTAGACCTCATTTCACCCATCTTAAAGGCAGGAAAATTGCTTCAGAGAGGTTATATAATTTGCCCAATGCCACACAGCTGGGAAAAAGAAAAACCGGTCTGTAGAGCCAAACTTCCTGGTCTGTCTGACCCCAAAGCCCTTGTTGGTGCCACAGCCCTGCTCTTCGTCCTTGTCACAGGGTCTGTGCTCAGCTTGCAGTGCACATCATCAGCAGAAACCATTAAGTCCCAGGTATCCACACCCCCTGCTCCCTGAGGTTATGTGGCATTCTGCTGGCATAGGCTGCTGGAGGTTGGAGCCACACTGTCTCACACACAGTTCTGACTGTTTCAGGGGAGGTTATAGTGCACCAGGAAGAGGAAGAGTAAGTGGGAGGGAGAGCAGAGTCATGGGTCAGCCAGACAGAGGCCTGAGCCCGACAAATCTCAGGATTGCTTCAGTCAGGTAGTTGGGAGGTTTGAGTTTCTCCCAGACCCAGTGTAATAGCTTAAGGAGAAGTTGGGTGTGACTGTTCCCTCTCCACATAAACACACTCCCACCTTCATAGACCCTCCCAAGGACAGGCCTCCCAGACAAATATGCATTGGCATGGTTGGGGGGGTGTGCGGAGGACTCCCAGAAGTGCAGACTCAGATTCAAGGTGACATACACGAACACTTACAGAACTGTCCTGCCACCGTGCCAGGCTCACCCACAGAGGAGGAAATACGCAGAGGTCAGCACAGCCACCCAAGGCTGCTCTTGCCCATGCTCCCACCCATCCAGAGGCCCAAAGAGTGCACTCCACCAGCCAGCTTGGAGGTCCCTTGGAGGACTGTTAGGAAGGATGGGGAGAGTGGTACTGTTTTCTCCTTAGCTGCCATATGCCCCTTCTCAGCAGCACCTATCAGTTCATGGAAGGAGTCTCCTTAGCCCTCATGGTTTCCTTTCCTCCAGGCAGTCCCCCCCGGCCAGAGCGCGGGAAGCATGGTGTGGGGGAGGGGCCGGCATGCAGAATGCAAGGGGGAGGGGAGGAGGCACCTGGAGGGGCCAGGAGTCTGTTCTGGGCTTCTGGCTAGAGTAGAGCTCAGGAGTTGTGGGGAAACCAGGCTGGGCTGTCCCTGTGGAGCCCAGACAGTGGGGAAAGGGGTTGATCCAGCTTGGGGGGGATCCCTCAAGGTGCTGGGAATGATGGTCAGATACCAGATTTCTGGATCATCAACGGAGTGAGGGTTGAGTGACCGAGATGGTGTGGAGGGCTTTGGGAGACGCAGGTTTGCCTAGGGCTGACACCTGTTCACAGAGCCCCATGGCTTGGACCCTTCCCCAGGTTGGGCTCCCCCAGTGAAGTATCTCTTTTGCCCCAAGTTCTTACGGAGGGGTAACTGTGAAAGTGGGAGTGAGAGGAGGGGAGGGAGGCTGGGGGCGGGGTGGAAGGTTTTGGGAAGATTTAAAGGGGAAGGGAGGAGGGAAAACGGATCATATTGACTGTCACCAATATGATCCCAGGGGAAAGGTTTGTGGGGAAGTCCTCTCTTCCCACACCCACCCCATCTAGCCCACAGTAGCAAGGGCCTGCATACTGCATCCCCAGCAGGTCTCCCCCCTGCTCATGCACCGAGGAGGGTAGTGCTGGCCTGGTGACCTTACCGTCTGTGGGGGGCTGCCCACGGTCATCTCCACATAGTAGCCCTGGCCAGACTTGCCCCTCAGGTTGTCCACCATCTCCACAAAGCTGCCTCTCCGGCTGGGCTCCTCCTGCTCCTCGTCGGTCTCCCGGGGTAGTCGCAGCCCCAGGAGGGCCCCCCCAAGCCCGCTTCGCAGGGGCAGTCGGATGCCAGGCTGGGTGCAGTGGGCAGGCAGCATGCCGGAGCCCATCCACAGCAGGAGCCAGGGCAGTGCTTGGGCCATGGTGGGCCCCGGCCTTTAAGCCCTCTGGCCCACGTCCGTCCTGTTGCCTGCCCCCAACTCTGGTGCTGGTGGTAGCTTCTCAGGGGAGTGAGCTGCGAGGCATCAGGGCTCCAGAGCCTGCAGGCCCCTCGGCCAGCCCCTGTTCTGGCTGTGGGTAGCAGGCAGGAGAAATCCGCAGAGAGAGAAGGTGAAGAGAGGAATCCGAAGCCGGGCTACATCTGGCCGCTAGCGACCAGCCTCAGCAGCGTTCTGGAAGAGGCCGACTCAGAGCCTCCCCAGGGCTGGGAGGGGCAGGCATGGCAGGTCAGCCGGTGTCCCGATCCTCCCGGCAAATCGGCAGGGGGCAGGGGCTGGGGCTCCGGGCTCCTGCGGCTGCGTTTGCTGGTCAGGCCACCATAATCCAGCTCCCAGCTCCCAGGCAGGCTGGGGAGGCGGAAAGACTTGTGGCGGCTGCTGTCAAAGCCAAAGGGTTTTCACTTTTCCCTGGGATCGCTGGGAAGTGTAGTCTTCCCATGGCAGGCAGCCCAGCTTCCGGGGCTGGTGAGGGGTCTGCGATGCCCTCTGCCGAGACGGAGTCCACCCTGCAGCATCCTGGCAGGAAAGGTTTCCTGGGCTCTGCAGGGCGGGAAGGGCCATAGGGATAGAGTGGTGGCCGACCTCTCATTCTGTCGCTCTTTTATTCTGTACACTGTATGTCAGGCATTCTGCTAGTCACTGGTGCTCCAGAGAGAAATAAAATGCACAGGCACCATAGACAATGATGTGACATTAAGGAGTAGGGATTTGAGACACATCTGGGGGATCTAGGAAGACTCAATCTGGTATTTAAGCCCTCAAGAATGGTTAGAAATTCCATGAGCAGAGATTGGGGAGCAAGAATAAAGGGGATGGAAAGGCCTTCTAGGGGTCCAACTGCATAAGCAACGTCCAAAAGGGAAAATGCAGGGCCAGTCAGTCCTCACTGGAGCCTGCAATGGGGGGGGGGGGGGGGGCAGGTGAGCACCAGCTGAATCTTTTCTCTCTGAATCTTTTTGTGCCTTTGATGCTCTTCCTGCTCTCACCTCCACTCTAGATGCTGTGAATCTTGAAGACCCTCCTGATTTCTGTTCTGTCAGTTAGACCAAGGATAAATGGCTGTTATCAAGTCTAAAGCATTGTCACCTATGAAGAATCTGTATTAACTGGTAAGAGCTTAAAAACAAAAGCATTAGTTTCTGATAACTTCAAAGGAGAAAAGCCACGTGATTGTATTAACATATTTATCAGATGTTGAAAGCTGTTGGTAAAATTTATTACTTGTGATAAAAATTAAGGCGAAATGCCTAAAACAAGACAACAGAAAATCATAGAAAATATAGTAGTAACAGGCTAAAGTTATTTCCATTAAAGCCAGGTTAAGGAAGGGAAAAGTCATCACTCCCTTTACCCCACATAGTTTAGATCATTCTAGCTAGTTTAATAAGGTATAAGGTGAGAAATTGGAACATGTGCTACAAATATTGGAAAGCAAAGGAATCACTGTTTTAGAATCTATTATATGGGTAGAAAATTTTAACCAATTAGGTGATTTAATACAAGTTAAACAATAAAAAATTAAAATCAACAAAGCACTACATGTTATGGGAATTTGTGTATGATAAAGATGCCATTCAAAGGGAAATAGAAGCATTATTCAATAACTGTTGTTGGGAAGATTGGCTACACATTTGGAAGGAAAGGAAATTAAGTCCCCACCTTACCTAAAAATAAACTCTAGATCATTAATTTTAAAAATAAAACTACAAGAAAAAATAGAAGAATGTTAACAATCCTATGTTAAAAAAGTTATCTCTAACAAAATCCGGAACACTCTTAAGAACTTAAATTTTTAAAACTTCTGTAGTATCAGGCTTCTAGTATTCCAATTCTGGTTCTGTCACTTAACCAAGAGAGCCCATGCTAGTTACTTATCCTTTCTATGTCTCATCTTTCTCACTTGTAAAAGTGGATAATGTGGACCTCCCCTGGTGGCACAGGAAGTTGAGCACCACTCTGTGAGGCTGTCCGCAGCCTCTGCAGCGCTGGTTTGATCCCAGCTGGCCAGCCAGGGTCCCACATGGCGTGGCGCGGCAGACCTCTCCTGTCTCGCCAGCTGCTCCCCTCAGCAGTGTATTTCGTCAGTCTGCCTGTTCTGCTCCCCACTCTGTCTCTGGTGAATCCTCTCACCTTCCCGCACATCTGGCCTGTACCCCGGTTCTTGTACAAATAAATAAATAAATCTTTAAAAACAAAAGTGGATAATGACCCCATAATGTAAGAATTAAATGAACTAATCCATGTAAAGCACATAGAATAATGCCTTTCATGTTGTGAATGCTCAATAAAGGTTAACTATTAGTATTACTACTGTAAGTACTGAGAAAAATGGTATTCACAAAGTTGAAAGATAAGTCATAGATTAGTTAAGGAATCAACATTTGTCATACAATAGAGGCAAAAGGTTAATGTCTCCAATATACGAAGAATCTCTACAAGTCAATAAAACCTCCAATAACCTTGTAGAAAAATGAATAAAGAATATGAACAGGTAATTAATTATGGAAGAAATTCAAATTGTCAATAAACACATGAAAAAAGTTCCACTTCATTAAGAGTGAAAGAATACAATGAAAACGATCTTTAGATACCATTATCATTATGTTATTGCTTCTCACATTGGTAACATTAGGTATTGGCAAGGTGTTGGTTGGATGGTAAATCATTCCATTTTAGACAGAAATTTGACAATGTCTATTACAATGTAAAAAAAAATGTGAACTCTTAGAGCAATGTCACTTCTAGATTCCTATCCAAAAAAAAACCAAAACACCACACCAGTATTTCAGCATTGTATACAATATCAAAATTTTGGAAACAAAATATGTGATTATCAACAGGGGAAAGGGACATTCATTCAATGGAGTCCTATAAAACTATTATAAAAAATGGAGAGGGGGACCTCTGTGGTGGTGCAATGGGTTAAGTCATAGCACTATGAAGCTATCGGCAGCCTCTGCAGCACAAGTTCAATCCCTGGCCAGGGAGGCGACCCACATGGCGCAGCAGCAGACCTCTCCTGTCTCACCCACTGCTCCCCCCAGCAGTGTATTTTCAGTAGATCTGCCTATTCTGCTCCCAACTCTGGACTCTGTCTCTGGTGAATCCTCTCATCCCACACCCCACCACCTCTGGCCTAAACCCCAGCTCTTGTATGCATAAATAAATCTTTAAAAAAAAGAGCCTTTCAATGAACTCATCATAAGAAATGCTTAAGACATATTAATTGATAAATGCTTAAGACATATTAATGCTTAAGACATTGTAAGACAAAATGTGCATTATTTAATTTGTATAAAAATTAAAAAGCATACACATATTGCATTTATAAACTTACATCTGCATAAGCACTAAAAAGTCTGGAAGACAGGAACCAAAATGTCGACAGTAGTTTCCTCTGAAGTGTGGGATTCATTCCTTCCTACAGTTTGCTCATTCATTCATTCATTTGGCAAATATATGTTGAGTGCCGCAGGGTATACTAACCACTGTTTTAGGCATTGAGGTTACTGCAATGAATAAAATAAACAAAATTCTTGTCCTTATACAGCTCATATTCTAATACAGGGAGACAGACAATAAAAAAACTAAAATATGTAGAATTTTAGATGTTGATATGTGCTGTGGGGAAAAATAAAACAGAAGGGAGATAGAAGTGCAGTTTGCAATTTTAAATAGGGTGGATTGAAAGAATAATGGAATATTTTATATCTTTATATACTTTAAAAACAGTGAGTATCTTATTATGAGAGTAATTTTCTGTATGAAGTATAAAAGAAGAAAAAGTTCCAACAGCAGAATTTTATGCCCTACTTGGAACCAAAGGGGTTGAATTTTCTTTCCTTCCAAATGAATAGTCATGGTCCCAATAACAGGACATAAAATCTATGATTGATTTTTTTTCCTATCCCTTCCCCTTCCCGCTTTAAAAAATCACTTCTAAATATTCATCCCTAACTATAGAAGATAACCTACAATGTGTAAAATTCTCAATCTCTCTGCTTTACTCATCAGGTATATTACTGATCTATCAATTGGTATGTCATTTTTGTTATTTTTTTCCTCAAAACTTGCTTTCTAAATTATGTTTGCCTAAGGGCATTTTGTAAGTTGGTTTTTACTTCCGAGTAAACACCTACAGGAAACCGGATAAAATGCAAATTGTTTATTTGTGTGGAGTAATTCCACAGTTACTCTTAATTAATTAACTCCATAAGAGAAAAGGGACAAAAGAATTTTGATGACAATTAAATTCACAGATTCATTGTAAGTTCTTGGGCTATAGAGACCAAGTCTCCAAATGGTTCTTTGAATCTCTGCTCGAGCAAGGTCTGGGTGGGGGTGGGGGATGAACTGCCCTTAGAGACCCTACCTAGTAATCCCTCTGGCCCTCTGTGAGACTTCTGAGTGGAGAGGAAGGGGGCGTGATGATTTGTCTTCTGTGGGCATACTAAAGGAAGTATAGGCAGAACTGACACACAAAGATTTGAAGTTAAACATGAGAAATGCATTGTGGATATCTGGTTTGAGATCTTCAGGACCGATTACCTGCATTCCTCATTGTGGGGTCAGTTCCTGGGTGGACTGGTTTGGAGGCTAGTTTGGAGAGTTAGTTTGAGCCAGATACACTCCACAACAGAACTTATCAGGAGCTGCCCCAGGTGCTCCATTCTTCCCTTCAACTAGCAAAGTTCTTCACTTTTGGTCTTCCCCATTGATGTGATGGCCACAGTTATCTTTGCCCTTCTTAACTTCTCTCTTAGAGAAAAGAGGTTGAGGACATAAGAAAGAAAGAGTTGCCCTCTGTTTAAGCAAAGCTCAAGTCTTTGAATTTATATTAGTAGCAACCTTTCTGCTAGACAAGGCGTGTGGAGGGGCTGAAAGGGGCTACACGTTGTCACTTTATTCTTTTTTAGAAAAGATTTATTTATGCATACAAGAGCTGGGGTACAGGCCAGAGGTGTGGCGGGTGAGAGGACTCATCAGAGACAGAGTGGGGAACAGAACAGGCAGATTGACCAAAGTACACTGCTGAGGGGAGCAGCGGGCGAGTCAGGGGAGGTCTGCAGCACCATGTGGGTTGCTCCCTGGCTGGGGATCGAACTCGTTCCGTAGAGGCTGTGGATAGGTTCATAGGCTGCGTATTAACCCCTTGTGCCACCAGGGAGGCCCCACATTCTCTTCTTATTTATTTATTTGTTTGTTTGTTTATACATGCACTGGGTACAGTCAGAAGCGCGGGAGGGTGAGAGAATTCACCAGAGCCAGAGCAGGGAACAGAACAGGCAGACTGATGGAGAAATACACTGCTGAGGGGAGCAGCGGGCGGCAGGAGAGGTCTGCGCGCCATGTGGGACCCTCCTCCGGTGGCCGGGGAGCAACCGGGGATCGAACCGACGCACGAACCGACGCTGCAGAGGCTGTGGGCAGCTTCGCAACCCAGCGCTCAACCGCTGCGCCACCGGGGAGGCCCCACACATTCTCTTCTTAAACAACTTCTTTGAAATAGTTGTGACAGACACTTTTATCCCCATCTTGCAAACATGCAAACTGAGCCCTATTCTGATGAAAAGAGGACAGTAGAAATTAGCTTTCTTAACTTCTGGTCATCTGCTTGTTGTTGCAATTGGAGCACAGGTGAACCGGTTTTTAAAATTTGGGGGGTGGGGTGGGTTTCTCCATTACCTTACGTTCACATTTCTTTTGTTTATTAAAGGCTCAATGGATTGATTGTTGATAAAGAGTGCATTGCTCAGCTGATGCTAATCATACTGTAACAGGGTGGTCCCCAGGAAAGGGGGAGGTTCCAGGTTTCCTGTCCCACCCAAAGGAGGGTAGAGCTGAGCAGACAGAGAAGACGCTGTAGAGGAGGCTGAGGAAGGAAGGAGGCAGGATGGAGAGCCAGAAGGAGACCTGGAGGAGGCACATGGAGCCGAGAGACACATGAAAAAACTACCCTTGCCTTTTGATCGTGCACTGGTTAAAATAGATGTGGGTGAGAGACCCGTGGGGAGGTGACAATGGCGGTTTTTGTCTTGATTTGATTTTGCTCTTTTCCCTCCAGACTTGTATGGTTATTTCTGATCCTTTTCTGTGGGTCCCCACTGGAAGATGCATTAAACTTGGGGCAGGCTTTGGGGCCTTGCTCTGGGCCAGTCCTGCTTGGGTGGAATTTTACCCACGAGGGGACGGGTAACTTTGGGTGCTTGATTTAGAAACTAGATTCTTTGCCTAGTTGTATTAAAGTTCCTTCCCATTAAAGTCTCATATGTTTTATGTTGATGGGGGGGATGGCAGAACCTATTTAGAGCAGGCAGGTTTGCCCGGTCTGGGCTGCCCCTCTCCCTGCCCTGTAACAATACTATTAAAATTAACCAATAAATCGCCTTAGTTAACTCACGTTACTATAAATACTGTGAATGATAATTTCTTGCCCGGGAAGAAATTCTCCTCATATATAAAATTCCGAACTCTTTTTTAATCCCCTAACCGACTGGAGCCACTACCTTGGACTACATCTCCCATCGTGCACAGGGAAACGTGCCCACGCGATCCGACGGCACCGCTGACCAATCCAATAGCACAGTTTTCATTCAGTAACCTATTGGCTCCGCGGGGAGGCGGGACTCTTGTTGCTAGGTTCTAACCCTTTCCGGAAGTGGTTGTTAGGCCGCTGCAGGGCAACACCCCGGCGTCCCTGGAAGCGGGGAGCCGGGGTGGTGCTGGGCAACCTGCGCAGAGCCGGGAGTCCTCGCCCTGAGCCTCCAGCAGCCGGGGACAGGTGAGTTCCTCCTCGGGGAAGGGGTTGGGTGGCGGGGAAAGGAGGGAAGCGGGAGGGGTGAGCCAGGCGTGTGTGTCAACGAGTTTTTGCCAGCCAGGAATGTTCGGAAGTGTGGGCGGGAACTGAAGAAGTGAAAAGGGCGCGGGCACTTGTGTGCATCTATCGAAAATCTGTCCTCGCCCCGCTCTCGAGTGGCGCCAGCATCCCAGGGTTTGAGTGTTGGTGGGGGAGTGAGCGGAGATCCCGAGGCGAGTGAGAAAGAGCGCGGGCAACGTGTGGGAACTTGCTGGGGGCCACGCGCTTGTTTGTCCTGTTCCTAGTTCATAGGCCGGGCCTGCTGAACCGTGTTTGAGTATCTCTTGGGGGGATGCTTCCCCATGGCCGAATCCAGACCTCGGGCGACCTTGTGCTGTCTTTTTGCCTGCTGGGGAGTTGGAAAGTTTTTGTTGGTGCCTTTCTTTGCATTGATTCAGATATCAACCATCTCCACCTGGAACCACTTGGCTTCCTGGACTCCCTGACTCCTGGCCCTCCTAACTCAGCCCTCTGCTCGTGCCTCTGCACGCCCCTCTTTCTACTCATCTGCCATCTCTGGGTACTTTCACCCAAAGTTTCAGTTATCATCTATTTAAGGTGACTCCCCAAACTACTCCAGCCAGATCTCTTCCCTAAGCCCAACTGCATGCCTCTAATCTTCTGGTCCCGCAGATCTGTTTCTCCTTTTGTAGTTCCTATTTTAGTCAAAGACCTCATTTGTTCAGTCAGCTGAGATTGCATGTGGAATTCATTTATCTAATATGTACAGCAAACATTTGTTGGGCTGTCTTATATTTCGAGGCAGTATGCTAGGTGGCCAGACCCATAGGCCAGAAATAGACATGCACAGGTGATCACAATATACCTGTGTATGTGCCCTGATTTCCCTCGACCCCACTTAAATCAGGACCAAGTCTCATTGTTCTGCTTTCTAATCGCCCTAGAATCTGGCCCTTCCATTCTATTCTCACAGCCACTACTTAGTTCGCATCCTTTCACACTAGCTTACTAAGTGGTCCCTCTGTCTCTGCGCTTGCCCTGTTCTGATTAGTTCTTACACACTTGTCAGAATTACCTTTCTACAGTGCTGATCACGACAGTCTCCTTTCCTCATCATCTGCAGGAAACCACCTCAGTCTTTCACGCCCATTATAACGTACACCTTGCCTTGCATTGTAGACCTTTCTCCTATCATCCTTCCCAGTATCCCCTGCCTTCTGATCCCATCAGAGTGGTTAAGAGCTCAGGCTTTGGAGTCAGGTAGATGTGGATGTGTGTGCATGTTCTGTTGTGCTGTTGACTAGCTGGAGAGCCTTAGGCAAAGCTTTTCTTCTCTTAAGACTTGCTGAGCCTCAGTTTCCTTATTTGGAAGGTGGAATAATAATCTCTACCCAGCAGAGAGGCTGGGGTGAGGTGATGTAAATAAAGCTTGAGTGCAGTTTTGGGAACATGCTTTTGTTTTCATAATGAGTTCTCTGTATCCATCACATTCTTTCCGGCCTCTCTGCCCTTGTGTGTGCTGTTCTGCCTCAATTTCCCTTCCCCGCTGAGCTGCTTGCCCTTCAGGAACCATGACAATCTTCGTCTATTCTATGATGCTTTCCTTGATCTTCCAAGGTAAAGTTAGTTGCCCTGGTTGTCCCATTGTATTTTCTGTTCTTTCCTTTAATGCACTTAAACACAATATTTAATCATGTGTTCACATGTTTAGCTTCTCAGTCATGCTGAGCTGGAGCTCAGGGCCTTGTGCAATCAGGTCTAGAGTCCTAATAGCATGGTACCTCACCTGCGGAATGTTTTCGGTGAGTGGTTATTGAATTCCTGAATGGCCTTAACTTCTATTCCCTGGAACTGTATTTGTCCTCTGGAACAATGTCAAATAATGCTAGTTATCATTCACATATCTAAAAACCTTGAGATTTTACTGTTTTTGAATATTTTACATGTATTGAGTCACTGAATCATCACAATTCTAAGGTAGACATTGTTATTTTCCCCATTTTCTAGATGAGGAAACAGGCAGCTTGCCCACCTGGTAAGAGGTGAGCTGAATTCAAAACCAAGAATGTTCCAAAAGCCATGCCCATTACCACCACATAATCAACTCCAATGTCTTCCACCTTCTCCCGTAGGCCACCTCCAGTGAAGCTTTTCTGTGGTGAACTTTCTTTGTGATTATTCAAGCAGAGTGGAAGTAATAAATATTCGTGTGTGTGTGCGCATGCATGCGCAAGTGTGTACAGGTGTGCAAAATGTTTTGGCTCCCCTAGGAGGGTAACCACAATGTTGCGAGTCTGGGAAATGATGACATATGTTGAATGGAAGGAAACTGGGAATACTTAGCTTGGACTAGACAATCCTTGGTGCTTGCCACAGGTTCAGAGGGCAGGATGGGACAAACAGGAGGTTTTTTAGAAATGGATTTTTGGCTTAATATGGGAAAGACCTTTTCATAGTTAAGGATGATCTAACTATGGAGATAGTTTATAGCAGTAAATCAGTAATAATGCGAAACTTTTTAAACCTGTATTCTGTCTTGTACCAGAGACAGTGTTAGGCACTTAGCAAGTATTTTCTCATTTCATTCTCTAATGACCTTTTGCTATCAATTTTTTGATTGAGTCATATACATGAGTGTTATGGGCAGGAAGGGCCACAGCAGGATATCTACGATCTGAGCAGATGGGTGAAGGAGGAGTCCTGGAGCCCTCAGTGGCTTTTGCGGGCTTTTATTGGGATTTTACTGGGTATACAGCAGGCAGGGGTGCTGGGGGGCTGGGAGGCTGGCAGGCCTCCCAGCTTCTAGCAAGTCTTTACTCTTTCTAGGCCCTCTGGCGTTCTCTGCTTCTCTGCTCTCCTCCTGGTTCTGCTCTCTGCTGGCGTCCCCGTGACGCCACCCTCATAAGCCCAGTCTTAACCCAGGTGTACCCACTTACGCATGCCCACACCGTACTCCAGGTGCCTGCCATCAGGCATGCATTCAGGACCGCAGGGATCCATCATCAATCCTAATGGCGGGAGGGCAGAAAAGTCTGATACTTTTTTACCTTACCCTACAATGAGGTTATTGAGGCTTAGGGAAGAGAGTACTTTGTCTAGGTCTTAGAGCTGGTGAGAGCTGATATGTGAATTTAGGTGTTTCTGGCTCACTGCTGGTGCCCTGACCAGCTGTTAATTGTTCACACTCATTTGAAGCACAAAGAGGAGCAATTTGACATGAGAAAGGCAGTTGGACTAAAGCTCTTAAGGACTTTTCCTGCTCTTGAGATTCCTTATTTCTGTGGAGGTGGTTTATAGCAGTGACCAAGATCCTGTAGTCTACATACTATAGTTTAGGGTTGTTTGGAAAATACAGGAGGAGGCATGGTCCTAAGAAGTTTGTGGCTTAACAGACAGAACACATTCCCATTGTAGGGGCAGGAAGGCACAGAGCAGCATCTCTATGATTGGAGCAGATGGGTAAAGGAGGAGTCCTGGAGCCCTTGGTGGCTTTTTCAGGCTTTTATTGAGATTGTAACAGTTCCATGGCAGGCAGTGGTTCCAGGGGGCCAGGATGCTCGCAGGCCTCCCAGCTCCTGGCGAGTCTTCACTCTTTCTAGGCTCTCTGGTGTTCTGGTCTCTGCTCCTTTGCTGCTCTCCTGGTTCTCTCTTCTAGTTCTGCTCTCTCTTCTGCTACTCTCCTCGTTCTGCTGGCGTCCCGGTGACACCGCCCTTAAAAGCTCAGTCTCAGCCCAGGTGCGCCCACCTATGCATGCCCACACCCTACGCTAGGTGTCCGCCATCAGGCACGCATGCAGGTCCGCAGGGATCCACCATCAACGCTAATGGAGGGAGGGCAGAAAAGCCTGATGGCTTTTCACTTACCCTACACCCATGAAACCAGTAATATTGAGAGTATTTCTATGAATACATGAAAACCATTCTCAGTGCTGAGGCACTTATGGGTGGACAGGAGTGTCTGAGGTTAGCCAGGGAGGACTTCCTGGAGGAAGTGTATGAGCTACTCCATTTTTGCTGGAGTGAAGGAGCTGGATGAGAGCAGTTGGGTGATGCGTCCCCCATAACCATGAAGCCTGATGGCAAGTAGATTTCACTAGGCTTCATCTGAAACGTAATGTCAGTGCTACATGGAGCACAAGGTTCAAGAACCACATCAAGGGGGCCATGGCTAACTAGGGCTGGCCCCACCATCTCAGGCCTGGAAGAAATGTTAGGATTGCATCATGTATTTGCTTTCATCTTCCCTCTGTGCCACTGTAGCTCAGATTATCGTCATCTCTCTCCTAGACTGGCTTATGGCCTTCTACCTGAGCTCCCTGAAGCCACTCTGATTTTCTTCCTTCCAGGCCCCCCTCCATTCCAGCCTGCATTCCCAGTGGCCGTTCTGAAACTATCTGGAAGAACCCTTTCTTGGCTCCCAGGTCTGATGATCAAGGCCCAGTTCTCAGATGGCCTGAATGCCGCTGCCTCACCAGCACTGTCTCCAGCTGTGCTGCTGCTTGCTTGGTGGTTGTAGGGGCAGGAAGGGCACAGAGCAGGATCTCTATGATCCAAGCAGGTGGGTAAAGGAGGAGAGTCCTGGAGCCCTCAGTGGCTTTTCAGGGTTTTACTGGGATTTTACCAGGCACATGGCAGGCAGGGGTACCGGGGGTCAGGAGGTTGGCAGGCCTCCTGACCCGAGCGAATCCTCACTCTCCCTGGTCTCTCCAGTGTTCTCTCGTGGTCTTGCTTGTTCACTCTCTCACTTGTTCTTCTGGCATCCTGGTGACGCCGCCCTTATAGGCCCAGTCTCAGCCCAGGTGTACCCACCTACATATGCCCACACTCTGCTCCAGGTGCCCACCATCAGGCATGCATTCAGGACCGTAGGGATCCATCATTAATCCTAATGACGGGAGGGCAGAAAAGCCTGACAATCATTTACCCTACAGTGGTGTATACTGTTGAAGGCCTTTGCATGTGCCGCTTCTTGTTAGAGCACTTTTCCTTTTTGCGGACTGCCTCCTTATCCTTCAGCTCTCAGCAGAGGCTTTGTGTAGGTCAGGTACACTTCAGGGCTCCTACCTCATTACAATCATGCACTTTTCTGTGATGGGTTGGTTGGTCTCCCTCTGCTCACTAGCTCCAAGGGGCAGCAATTGGATGTTTCTAATCGCCATCGTATCTCCAGTGCCCAGCAAAAAATTGGCTTAGTAGGTGCTAAGTCACTTTTCTCAAATGAGTAAATGATCTCTGGCTATTAAGTAAATGATTTCTCTTTCCATCTTTCTTGTTGCTATAATTCCTGCCCTTTTGGGCCTGTCTTGCCCACACCTTTTCTGAAGCAAGGTGGGCAAAGTGAAGTCGAATACAGCCTACCCTTATTTTAATTTTTTTCTGGCAGAGGATTTGATTTCTGAAAAAGCTCCATGAATCCAGCTTTTCTTTCTGACTTTTAAATAAACACATAATTATGGATATAGTTTATTAGGCATTTTTTTGCCATGAGGACAGGGGTTTTACCTGCCCCATGCATTTTGGGGTATAGATGTGTCTACAGATAAGTAACAGTTCTCAAAAGTAGAATTTTTCTGCTTTGTATAGATCTCTGTTGGATTGAATATTGTCCAGCCTGATGATCAAGTCACTGTTGATTGATTCCTCTGTCTCTGGGGATCCTTTTCCTCCCTCTTCCCTAACTCAGAGGATTTAAAGATTCCACAGACTGCTCAGCCACCAGACAGTGAAGCACATCTGCCAGCTTGGCTCCTGGTCTTTTCTGCCACTTTTTCAGAGTCAGTAGCACCTCTGATTGTGTGTAGAGTTTTGGGCATTAGGTCTTAGGGTAAGGGGGAGATTCCCACTTGGGTTTAGGTGCTACAGAGAAGACTGCTTCTTCCTTTTCTTCCTGTAGCATGAGGTTACTGCGTGGGGGTGTTGAGAGTGGGCAGAGCCTGATTCTCTTGGGTTCCCTGCACTGACAAGCAGGACCATCTTTGTGTGTCCTAAAGCAGAACACTTCCCTTACCCATCTTAGCTGTCAGGATACAGAGAGGGCCCTGGTGTCCTTCCTTGATAGTTTCTTTGCTGTTTGTCAGGGGTCCCTCTCTAAGGATCTTGGAGCAGACTCTCAGCCACCAGATCAGCTACTTCCTGAGCATTCATAACAGGCCATCTCTCAACCTGGCCTTTTTGACTCCAAGGTCTTTCTGCTCATTTCCTCTGCCAGGTAGATGGTGGCAGCTTCTGAAGAACTGGCTATGGGGGAGGTCAGGACTTGCTGTCCACACTCCTGGGATCACACTGCTGTGGCTGATAGCTTCTTGGTTGGGGGAGGCACTCTAAACAGAGCGGGCCACTCCAGCTAGTTTACAGGGTGACCTGTCTCGGGTCATCAGGTATCTGCATGAGAGCAGCTATTGGGACAGTTGGTGTGACTGGGGTTCTGAGGGAGGTGCAGGAGTAGGGGTGCATGGAGAGGGAGAAGCAATTCTAGAACTGTACCAGCTTGTCACTTGAAGAATTTGATAGTGCCCCAAAGTGCCCCAAGCTCCTCTTCTAGGAGCTAGAGGCTTTGGATCCAAGCTGGACTCCCTTCCACTCTGCTCCCATGCCCTGGTCCCATCAAGACTAACATCACTGCATCTCCTATCTGCCCCTGCTTCTTCATTTCCACTGCTTCTGCCCCAGTTTAGACCCTCATCATTTTTCACCTGGACGGTTACTTCCTCAGTGGTTTTCCTGACACTAGTCTCTAATTTCAACAGTCCCGTCAGGCTACTCCTGCCAGATCTCTCATCTTAAAGAAAGGCCGCTCTGTCACTTTCAGACAGCACAGCCCTCAGCAACTCCCTTCTGCTACAGGTAGAGTTGAGTCTCTGCACTCCCAGAGCAGGACAGTCTCCCTTTGCCTTTCTCTGCTGTTGAAGTTGCTTCCTCCACTAGCCTGTAAGCTCCTGAGACATGGGTGATTGTAATAGGAACAGTGTGAGACTAGGTGCCTGACCCAGGGTGTGCTGGTGTGGGGGTGGGTGTGCTGCTAGTCATTTCCATGTCTCATTAGGATTTTCTGGCTGAGGCTCCTTTACTGTTCAGTCTTTCTCTTATTTGGGGGGTTTGTGAAATCAAGCTCTTGAGTGACCTGAGATTCCATATCTTTTGTGGTTCAGGCACTTAGCAAGCCTTTGGGGAAAGGTGTGTCTTAAGGAATTTTCTGGGGTGAAGATCCTGCAAAGCCTGAGTTTTAGCCATTGCTTCCACCCCTCCACTATCCTGATGTCCAGGAAATCCCCAACAAAGTTGGCTTTTAGGGTCTGGTCTAACTCAAGTATTCCATGACCCAGTTCCAGCCTTTCTCCTTCTAACAAGGGTTTCTGATTTTCTCTTTGGGTTGGGGTCTTTGGGATCTAGGCATTCAAGCTCAGGCCAGTCATGGCTGGAAGACCCATCCGCATAGGAGACCAGCTGGTGCTGGAGGAAGATTATGATGAGACCTACATTCCCAGCGAGCAAGGTAAGAGGCCTGGGGTGGATTGTAATAATTGTTCTTTGAGATCAGGCATTATGTCTGATTTATGTTCTTCCAGTGCAAAGTGTGGTGCATGTACAGGACTGCTAAGTATCTTTGGGTTAATCAGGTTGGCCAGTCATAGCCCATAGGCCTAACTTGGCCCATTCCTTGTTTTTGTAAATAAAGCTTTATTAGAAAACAGCACACTTACTTGTTTATGTGTTGTCGATGGCTGCATTCAGGCTATCAGGACTGTGTTGATAGAAGCCATATGACCCACGAAGCCTAAAATATTTACTCTCTGGCCCTTTACAGAAGAAATTTGCCAATGCTGGTTTTGATCAGTGATCAGTTTTTTTATTTTTTATTTTTTAAAATATTTATTTATGTATTTATACAAACACTGAGTACAGTCAGAAGTGTGGGAGGGTGAGAGAATTCACTAGAGCCAGAGCGGGGAGCAGAACAGGGAGACTGATGAAGTATACTGCTGAGGGGAGCAGTGGGTGCAACAGGAGAGGTCTGTGTGCCATGTGGGACCCTTGCCTGGTGGCTGGGGATGGAGCTGGCGCTGCAGAGGCTGCAGGCAGCTTCGCAGCCCAGCGCTTAACCGCTGTGCCACCGTGGAGACTCAATGATCAGTTTTAAATGGAAATATAGTAGGGGATACCATGAGATACAGTTGTATTCTGAGGCCAGGGAAAACCCAGTATTTTTTTTTTTAAATTTTTATAAATTTTATATTCCCCATATAATTGCAACCCCCTTATTTTGACCCCAATCCCTCCCCTCCCCACCCCCTACTTCTCACAGAGTGTCTCTGGTTCATAGTTTTTATTAATTTTGATTTTCCTGGTCCCTTATTCAAGTTTTCTAGATTCCTGCTATGAGGGAGACCATCCGGTATTTTTCTTTTTCTTTCTGGCTTATTTCGCTGAGCATGATCCCTTCCAGCGCCATCCATGTTGCTGCAAATGGCATGTGTTTATCTTTTTTGAATGCTGAGTAATATTCCATGGTGTATATGTACCACATCTTCTTGATCCAGTCATCTGTTTTTGGGCATTTGGGTTGTTTCCAAAGCTTAGCTATTGTAAATAGTGCTGCTATAAACATAGGGGTGCAGGTGCTCTTTGGAGTTGATGTTTCTGTGTCCTTTGGGTAAATACCTAGGAGTGGAATTGCTGGATCATATGGAAGCTCTATGTTTAGTAGGTACAGAAATCTCCACACAGCTCTCCATAGTGGTTGGACCAGTTTGCACTCCCACCAACAGTGCAGAAGAGTTCCTTTTTCTCCACATCCTCGCCAACATTTGTTGTTGCTAGTTTTTTTAATATGTGCCATTCTCACTGGTGTGAGATGGTATCTCATGGTAGTTTTGATTTGCATTTCCCTGATTACAAGTGATGTTGAACATTTTTTCATATGCCCGTTGGCCATTTGCATTTCCTCTTCAGAGAAGTTTCTTTTTAGCTCTTCTGCCCATTTTTTGATAGGATTATTTTCTTTGTTGTTGAGTCTCATCAGCTCTTTGCAGATTTTTGTGATCAGTCCTTTATCATTAGTGTTGTGTGCAAAAATGTTCTCCCAGTCGGTGGGGTTTCTCTTTGTGGAAAACCCAGTTTTTAAGACCAAACTAAAGCGATGTTCCCCCCCCCTTTTTTTAACATTAATAGCAGTATTATTAATAATAGAATTTATCGTGTGCTATGATGTACCAGTCTCCGTACATAGTAGCACACAAGTGCTGCTGCATACAGTCTAAGTACAGTCTCTGTACTAAGAACTTCACATATATTTCCTTTTCAGCTCCTCCACCAACTCCATGAGTTAGGTGCTGCTAGTGTCCCCGATTCACAGGTCAGGGCACCAAGACACAGGAAGTTAAGTAACTTCCCTGTGATTATGTAGTTCTGTTAAGTGGTACAGGTACAGCTAGCATCCACATCCAGATTCTCTAATCCCAGCACCTGTACTTTGAGGCACATGCTGTGTTTTGGGATGAGGAGTCCCTTGGAATTCTCATGAGTTACAGACACACTGGTTTTGCTGATGATTCAGGTGGTCCATGGGCCTGTTTAATGAGTGGGGAGGAAGTTGCTTCCCCAGAAGTCAGTGGAGCCCATGTTAAACCTGCACTGCACTTATAGAGTTTTTGCTTGTTTACCCTGCAGAAAATTTTAATTTTTATGATCCATTTGTCACTCCATCTTCATATGGCCTCTGAATTTTATATCATAGTGAGAAAAATGCCTTCCTACCCCAAGGACGAAATACTTCTGTTTTCTTTTAGTCTTGTCCTCATACTATTCATGAATTAGCTTATCGCCCCCCCGCTTTGACTGGGTTGTGCCTGTGTAGATTTGTGTCTACTTTTTTTTGTTCCATTACACTGTTTATTCATATACTAGGACCGTACTCTGAATTACTAAGACTCAACAGTCAATTCTAATATCTAGTGGAGTTGAAATATGCTCCTTGCCCTTCTTTTTTGTCAAAGTTTTCTTGGTTATCATGATTCTCTGCTCAGCGACTTGAGAATCACCTCGTCCAGTTCTGGGGAGGACTGTGTATGGGGGAACTGTTGATGTTTTGGAGAAAGCTGTGTTAAATTTATGTATTAATCTAGGGAGGATTGACATTTATGCAGTTAAGTCTTCCTATTGAAGAACACTGTATTCCTTTCTACTTGTCTCTTTGTTGTATTTTTCAGAAGTGACTTAAAGTTTTCTTATGTGCACATTTCTTGCTCAGTTTATTTTTTAAATGATTTTTTTGTTTGCTATTGTAAATGGAGTCTAACATTTTTCTAAAAGTGTTTCTATAAACTCTCCTCCACTCAGTTCAATTTTAGCCATCCTACGCTCAAGCACCACCATTTTCTTTTCCTGTACTATTAGTAGCTTTGGTCCTCGCCTAGCACAGGAGTGTGTTCTTATGGTATAAAGCAGATAATGCCAGGGCTTTGCCTTTAAGGATCTCCCGTTATGCCCAGCACAACACCCATTGTGGAATGTGCTGGGCTCTCCAAGGTTCAGCTTTGCCCACCTGACTCCCACAGTCTCATCCGGTGCCATTCTTTCCCTTGCCCAAACTGCCAGTTACATGGCTTTCCTGACAGTCCTCAGGTGGGCCACACTACTTCCTGCCATAGGCCCTGTCTGTGTGCTGAAAAGCCTGTGTGCTCTTTCTTTAGCGCTCTGCCTGGCTGGGTCCTTTGTATCCTACAGGTTTTTTTTTTTAAAAAACATTTATGCGTAGAAGAACTGGGGTGTAGGCCAGAGGTGCAGGGGGTGAGAGGATTCACCAGAGACAAGGGAGAGCAGAACAGGCAGCTTTACATTTACACTGCTGAGGGGAGCAGTAGGCATGACAGGAAAGGTCTGCTGTGCCATGTGGGCTAGCTCCCTGGGCAGGAGTTGAACTCAGGCCACAGCAGTGACTATGTGAGGGAGGCCCTGTCTCCTACAGGTTTTGATGAAGGGTTACCATTTCACAGGTATTCCTTGACTACCGTTCCTATAGGCATGCCCTCGCTACCTTGACATCTCTGTCCCATACCTCTTTTACTTCCCTTATTACAGTTATCAGAAGCTTTAGTTTTTTTTTTTTTTTAAAGATTATTTATTTATTTATTTGTTTGTTTGTTTATAGAAGCACTGGCTACAGTCAGAAGCGTGGGAGGGTGAGAGAATTCACCAGAGCCAGAGCAGAGCAGGCAGAAGGACCGAAGTACACTGCTGAGGGGAGCAACGGGCGAGGTCTGCGCGCCATGCGGGACCCTCCTCCGGGGGCCAGGGAGCAGCCGGGGATCGAACTGGCGCTGCAGAGGCTGTGGGCAGCTTCACAACCCAGCGCTCAACCGCTGCGCCACCGGGGAGGCCCAGAAGCTTTAGTTTTTTTGTATATTTTTGCTTCTTTCCCTGACTATTTCTTCAACTGTAATGTAAGCTTCATGAAGGGAAGAGTTCATCTCTCTCTTTATCACAGCACATAATGACTGGCACATAGGTGACAGTAAAAAATATGAAATTAGTTGTTGGCTAGCCGGGTTCCAGCTAGCCCTTTGAAAAAATGTTTCCCCCTTCTCCCGCTCCTAAATATGTCAACCTCCAAATTCTCACTGAGATGATCCAGTATAGTAATGCCTTTCTGGCCTGGGTATCATCAAGTCAAGTATTGATACCCCTTGTATTGATTTCATTATTCCCAGGGCCTCCAGTAACATGCTCCAGTCATCACCTCATCTGTCTCTTTCCTCTGGGTGGCCTAGCTCTTAACTCAGCATCTGCCCTATTCTTCCAGGTCTCTGTTAAAAGAACTTTTCTAATTGCTTAATTCCGAAAGAGCACAACAAAATGTTAGCGCCCATAATATGGAGTAAAATTGAAAAAGAAGCAACTCCTTTCATGGGAGAGAGGGTTCAGTGAGCGGGGATGTAGGCTGCCTGTGTATCATCGTATTTTCTCTGCTCAGATATTCCTGAGTCCTGGGCAGAGTAATGCTCTGCTTTCTCTCTGCTCGCGTGGCAACCATGCGTGTATCCTTCACAGCACGTATCACTTGGCTTTGCTCTCTGTGGGTTCATAAAGTCCCCAAGAGCCTTGGTCATCTGTAGTTGTTCAGTCCATGCTTGTTGGTTGATTGACGAGCACTTTAGCACCAAGATTTTTGCAAATCTTGGGAAGCTCGTGTCCTGCTAAGACTTTTGGCGTTCTTCCTGAGACCTCTGCCCCACTGAAGTCTTGGTCTTATTTTTTTTTTTTTTTGCCTGCTTATATTTGTTTTTCTTAAACTTTATTGATTTGCCAGTTGTTTACATAGCTAGATAATGTTGGGAGTCCAGCCTCACCCCTCCACACGTGCAGTGCTTCACTCACCCTCCCCCAGAGCTCCAGTGCCAGCGTCTTGTCACTTTCCCTCCTTCTTTCCCTCCCCAGCCCCACCTCCCACCTCCATCACCTCAGGTAACCGCTGTAGGTTCCACAGTCTGATGTTTTTTTTTTTTTTAAAGATGTATTTATTTATGAATATAAGAACTGGGGTACAGGCCAGCGGTGCAGAGAATTCACCAGCGACAGAGTGGGGAGCAGAACAGATGGATCTACTGAAATAGGGATCTACTGAAATACACTGCTGAGGGGAGCAACGGGTGAGACAGGAGAGGTCTGCTGCGCCATGTGGGTAGCTCCCTGGCCCGGGATTGAACTAGAGCTGCAGTGGCTGCAGATAGTTTCATAGTGCTGACTTAACCCCTTGTGCCACCAGTCTGAGTTATTTGTGTTTTTTTTTTTTTTTAAGGGTAACTGTCTTTCACTTCCTGACTTGTTTCACTTAGCGTAATCACCTCAGGATCAATTGTTTTGCCCCAGAGACACCATTTCATCTTTTTTTAATTGCTGAGTAGCATTCCATTGAGTCCATGTACCACAATTTCTTTATCCAGTTGTCAGTCAGTGTTTGCCTTTGTTATACTTGACTTCATATTATATTCTTGGTGAACAGAGATAGCATGCCTGGCTCAGGTCTACCATTTATAAATTATAATTTAAGAGCGCAAAGAAATACTTGGAAAGTAAAGATAAAGCAGGAAAAATGTCTAGGAAAAAGCTGTTCATTTACTCTTATCCTCAGTACTTCTGACTCCAGATGTGTGGGTTTTTTCACACATCCACCAATTCTGCGACACCGGCTGGTTGTCCTATAGTGACTCAGCGCTGATGCTCTAGGAGTCAACTTCCGATCCTGCCAGTTAAGGACTCAGTCTCACAGCACTGCCCCACTTCAGATGCCAGTCTCAGAGCCCAGGTGTCCTCACCAGGTGTCCAGAGTTCCCACAAACCCTCCCTTCCTCCTGTTCCATATTTGCCGGAAGAGCTCACAGAACTTGGGGAAACACTTATTTTTATTAGTTTATCACATATTAAAGGCTATGCTAGAGGGTGCAGATGCACAGCCAGATGCAGAGATATATGGGGGTAGGTCTGGGAGGGTCCTAAGTGCAGGCGCTTCCGTTTTGTGGAGCTGGAGAGCTCTGTCCTTGTGCTACATGATGTGTTCAGCAGCCAGAAAGCCCCCTAAATCCTGTAGTTATGGGATTTTTCTGGAGGCTTCTTCACCTTGGCATAATTGATTACTAACTCGTAGCTCTTTTCCCCTCTCTGAAGAATGGAGGAGAGTGGTGAGATTTCTAATCATGGCCTGGTCTTCCCCAGGAGCCCACCAAGAGTTCCTCTTTGGAACAAAGTTACTCCTATCACTCAGGAAATACCAAGGGATTCAGGAGCCCTGTGTCAGGAACTGGGGTCAGAGATCAAATATTTTTTTTTTTTTTTAAAGATTTATTTATTTATTTATTATTTTTTTTTATACAAGCACTGGGTACAGTCAGAAGTGCAGGAGGGTGAGAGAATTCACCAGAGCCAGAGTGGGGAGCAGAGCAGGCAGAAGGGCGAAGTACACTGCTGAGGGGAGCAGCGGGCGGCAGGAGAGGTCTGCGCGCCATGTGGGACCCTCCTCTGGTGGCCGGGGAGCAGCCGGGGATCGAACCAGCGCTGCAGAGGCCGCGGGCAGCTTCGCAACCCAGCGCTCAACCGCTGCGCCACCGGGAAGGCCCCAGAGATCAAATATTACCAAGAACCTGGGGCAGAGACCTCTATGTATCATCTCACGAAAGGGGCTGTAGTTTTCCCCTTTCCTTCTCTAATCTTCCCACCCTCCTGCCTCTCCTTGCAGAAATTCTTGAATTTGCCAGAGAGATTGGCATTGATCCCATCAAGGAACCCGAACTGATGTGGCTGGCGCGAGAGGGCATTGTGGCCCCACTGCCTGTGGAGTGGAAGCCATGGTAAGTTGGCATGGTGGGTCCACTGATGTGGCCTGTCGGAGCAGAGGGAGCCTGGCACCGGAGGTCAGTTTTAACCGGCCACCTTTCCGAGACTGTCTTGTCAGGGACAGCCTCAGCTGGGCTGACTTGATGGTCCCACTGAGGGAGGTTCGACCCTTATATCCAGGGGCCCGGGAACTGTGGTCCTGGTCAGTTTCTCTAGCCCCCCCAGGGTGGTGCTGTCATTATTCCTTGCAGACTAATATTGAGAGTGACAGTATGGAGACCTCCTCAGCATGCCCCAGTGGATGCCTGTGCTAAAGAAGTTTGTACTGAGGTTGCACAGACTGTCAAGTGCTTTGTCTCCCTTGGGAACCCATCCCTAGTTTTGTGTAGCCTGTTCATGAGTAGGTTCCTCTTCCTGATTTGTTCATATTTCAATTTCAGCTTGTGCTCTTTGGATTATGAGGAGCAGACTCTCAGGTTACTTCAGCTACTCAGGGAAATGGGGATTATTGGTGAGGAAATGCAGATTGGCCTTGGTGGAGGAGCAAGGATCCTCACCCCCAACTGCCTTCTCTCTGCTCCAAGGACCCCACACCCTCTTCCTTTTGACATTGCCATTTTCTCTCTACCGAGGTCTGCTCAGTTCTCATGCAACAGGGCACTCGCTTTCCAGGTTGTCTCCCTAAAGTGAGTGCCCTTAGTTTGCTTCCTATCTGCATGTAATTTCCCAAAGTGTTTGTCCCAAAGTAGTCCCCAGATGTCTTTAGGGGTCCCTTCCTATGCTGGTATTGTGCAGTTTTGGGTCCAAGGTGCTGCTATCCATTTCTTATCCGTTTCTTTTAAGGTGTTGGCTGGACTTCAGACGACAGGAGGTACAGCCTTGCTCATCTCACTGAAGAATCATAATCCTTGTAGCTTTCTCCCTCCATGGCAGGTTCCCTGTTCTCTCCGTCCTTTTAGCTGCTTTTCCTTGGATCTTCTCCAGGATCATGACATCTTTCTAGTAGCAGATAAATCTGTCAGCACAGCACAAAGCATTCCAGGTGCTGAGGGCTCACAGTTGTGTTTGTGTAATGAACGTTTATGTTAATGGTATCTATTTTTGTTTGCAGTATCCACCCCGATACCCACATTCCCCTTACTTTGAATCCGTATCTTCTTTTTCTAAGTTTGTGCATATCTGTGCTATTTTGCTTTTGGATACATTTTCTAATTAAAAACCACTTGAGAAATATAATCAGTATAGTAATACTTTAATAGGCACATAATAAATCAATGGCCGTGGTGATGTAAAAAATGGAACCTGTCATTGGTTAGGGGCAACCGTGGGCCAAGCTTCGTGCCAGTTGCCTTCTTGTGCTGCTAGTGGTGGCTAACGCTCCATCATCCTGTAAGGAAAGTGTGAACTATGTCTCACTTTTTAAAATAACATAAGTCATTAAAACTTATGTATACATGTCATCTTTTACTCCCAGTCCCAAGAGTAATTACTATTAATTGGCTAATTCCTTCCAGACCTTTGAAAACACACAGACATATGTACCTGACGTGGTTTTGTTTTTTAAACCTAAGTGCTATCCTAAATATATTGGCTTTTGGGGCCTCCCTTGTGGCTCAGGGGTTAAAGTCTCCACACTATCAAGCTATCACCAGCCACTGCAGCCTGAGTTCAATCCCCAGCCAGGGAGCTAACCCACATGGCGCAGCAGACCTCTCCTATCTTGCCCGCTGCTCCCCTCAGCAGTGTATTTCAGTAGATCTGCCTGTTCTGTTCCCCACTCTGTCTCTGGTGAATCCTTTTACCTCCCTGCACCCCTGGCCTACACCCCAGCTCTTGTATGCATAAATAAAAATAAATCTTTAAAAACAAAATAAGGGCCTCCCTGGTGGCACAGCAGTTGAGTGCTGGGCTGCGAAGCTGCCCAAGTCTCTGCAGCGCCAGTTCGATCCCCGGCTGCGGGTGAGGGTCCCGCATGGCACACAGACCTCTCCTGCCATGCCCACTGCTCCCCTCAGCAGTGTACTTCATCAGTCTGTTTGTTCTGCTCCCCGCTTTGGCTCTGGGGAATTCTCTCACCCTCCTGTGCTTCTGACTGTACCCAGTGCTTGTATAAATAAATAAATCTTAAAAAAAAAACAAAATAAATATATTGACTTTTTTATGTCAGTATGAGAAGGCCTACCTCTTTTTTTGTTGTCAGCTGCATACTTTTCCATGTGTAGATTACCACAATTAAAAAAAATCCTGATGTATTTAACCACTTTCATATTGAAGATTATTTTTCCTCAAGTTGATCATTTTGTGTGGATGTACTTCTATATTGTCTACTCTCTTCCACTGATCTTTTTATCTATCTTTATACCAATACCATGCTGTCTTGATTACTCTAACTTTATTATGAATCTTGAAATCATTTAGGGTATATCCTCCAACTTTATTCTCCATTTTCAAAGTCAGATTTTAGATCCTTTGCATTTCTTTTTTTTTTTTTTTTTAAGATTTATTTATGCATACAAGAATTGGGGTACAGGCCAGAGGCACAGGGGGTGAGAAGATTCACCCAGAGACAGAGTGGGGAACGGAACGGGCAGACTAACTGAAATATACTGCTGAGGGGAGCCGCGGTGAGAAAGGGGAGGTCTGCTGTGCCATGAGTAAAATCTCCCTGGAGGGCTGGGGGATGGACACGGGCTGCAGAGGCTGCAGATAGCTTCACAGTGCGATGCTTAACCCCTTGTGCCACCGAGGGGCCCTCTTTTGCATTTCCATGTGAATTTGAGAATCAGCTTGCCATTTTATACAAAAAATTTGATCAAGATTTTATTGGAATTGCGTTGATTCTATATATCAATTTGGGGAGAACTAACACCTTAAACAATACTGAACCTTTATAAGAGTTTAAATAGAAAGACCATGAACCCAGCCTATTCTCCACTCACTTAGGTTGTCTTTAGTATGTGTAATATCTGTTTTATAGTTTTTTAGTGTACATATCTTGCCTATGTTTTGTCAGATTTATTCCTAAGTAGAAACATTATACTTAATGGTTCTGTCATTGGTATATTTTGAATTTTAATTTCCATAATACTACTTTTATGTGGAACTGAAACTGATTTTTGTATATTGAGTTTGTAATCTGTACCATGCTGAATTCACTTGAAGTTAGTCCTAATAAGTTTTTTTGTAGATTCCAGTGGATTTCCACATCTTCTAAGAATAGACATTTGTACTTCCTTTCTAATCTGGAAACTTTGTTCTACTTCCCTTTTTTTTTTTTTTTTTTTAGAGGCATGTATTATTTATTTATTTGTTTGTTTATACATACAAGCACTGGGTACAGTCAGAAGCGCGGGAGGGTGAGAGAATTCACCAGAGCCAGAGCGGGGAGCAGAGCAGGCAGAGGGACCGAAGTACACTGCTGAGGGGAGCAGCGGGCGGCAGGAGAGGTCTGCGCGCCATGTGGGACCCTCCTCCGGTGGCCGGGGAGCAGCCGGGGATCGAACTGGCACTGCAGAGGCTGCGGGCAGCTTCGCAACCCAGCGCTCAACCGCTGCGCCACCGGGGAGCCCCTTATTCTACTTCTTGCCTTACTGCACTGACTAGAACCTCTAGTGCATTTGGCCATAAGTGGTGTCAGTGGACATTTTGCCTTGGTCCTGATACTAAGGGAGAAGCATTCAGTCTTTCAACCTTAAGTATGATGTTGGCTGCAGGTTTTCTATAAATGCCTTTTTTTTTTTTTTAAGATTTATTTATTTATTTATACAAGCACTGGGTACAGTCAGAAGCGCGGGAGGGTGAGAGAATTCACCAGAGCCAGAGGGGAGAGAAGAACAGGCAGACTGACGAAGTACACTGCTGAGGGGAGCAGCGGGCGGCAGGAGAGGTCTGCGCACCATGTGGGACCCTCGCCTGCCGGCTGAGGGGCAAACTGGCCCTGCAGAGGCTGCGGGCAGCTTCGCAACCCAGCGCTCAACCGCTGCACCACCGGGGAGGCCCTATAAATGCCTTTTGTCAGCATGAGGAAGTTCCCTTCTATTTCTAACTTGCTTAGAGTTAAAATAGAAATGGATATTGGGTTTTATCAAATGTTTTTTTCTGCATCTATTGATAGGATCATATGGTCTTTCTATTTCAGTCTGTTAATATGCTCAATTATATTGATTTTTCAGATGTGAAACTGACCTTTTGTTCTGGGGATAAACTCCTCTTGGTCATGGTTATGTATTACTGGTTTTGATTTTCTAAAATTTTGTTAAATATCTTTGCTCCAAAATAATAGTTTGAAGGGGACAAGACATAGAGTTTGAATATTTTTTTAAGTTCTGATTTCCAATTTTATTCATTATATTTACTCTTTGTTACAAGTTGGGCCACTTTTGTGCCTTGGTAAAATGATTCCATTTATGTAAATGTTCTCTCTTATTTATGAATACAGGGTTCTCTAAATGTCCTGTATGAAAGCATGCTAAGTGTGTTTTTATCTTCCAGCGTCCTTAGTGATTTTTGTCTGATCTCATTCTGAGTAATAGTTTAGTTCAGCATAGAGTTTTGTTGAACTACCCCTTCACAGTGTTATGTGCCCTTATCTTCTGACTTTTGGTTTTGCTATTAAGACAAGTTTTCTTAGTCTCATTTTCTTTTTCATGTTCTTTTGTAAGTAATCAATCCCCCCCCCCCATATTGTTTTTATCTTTGGTATTCAGTAGTTTTACTACAATGTGGTTTTTCTCACTGCTGCATAAAAAATGAAATAGTCATAGTATTAAGTAAAAATGTAAAAGAAGTCAAAGGTAGACATGCTCAGTAGTGTCAGAGCCTGGCTATAGTGTTAAATGTTGAGACAAGCATAACTTTTTTTTTTTTTTGGTGAGAACATTTACATTTTCTTTTCTTTTTTTTTTTTTTTGAAGATTTATTTATTTATGCATACAAGAGCTGGGGCACAGGTCAGAGATGCAGGGGGGTGAGAGGACCCACCAGAGCCAGAGTGGGGAACAGAACAGGCAGACTGACTGAAATACGCTGCTGAGGGGAGCAGCGGGGTGCGACAGAAGAGGTCTGCTTCGCCATGTGGTTTTCTCTCTGGCCGGCTGGGGATCGAACTCATGCTGCAGAGGCTGTGGATTGCTTCACAGTGCGGTGCTTAACCCCTTGCGCCACCAGGGAGGCCTAAATTTTATTTTCTTAACGAATTTCAGTTTTATAGTAGTGTTAACAACTATGGGTGTGTTAATTAGATGGGAGGAATCTTTTCACAATGTGTATGTATATGTCAAATAACCACATATAGTTGTTTTTGTCAATTATACGTCAAACTGAAAAAAAAAATCTTGGAGGAAAAAAGGTTAATAAATCAATCACATCAGGATTTGGAGTGCTTTCTTATTCTGAGAACTGATGTCATTCTTCAATTTTAGAAAATTCTCAACCATTTTCACTTTTCTGGAAATCTTACTAGAAATATATTGAACCTTGTTTTATTGCCCATGACGTCATATGTCCCTTGCATATATAAAAAATACCTTATCTTGCATACTGCACTCTGGGTAATTTCCTTTGGTATACTTTTCAATTCAATATTTGTTTCTTCTTTTGTGTCAGTGTACTGTTTAGCCCATTGGCCTTTTTCCCCCTACAAGTTCTCTTAAGTTCACTTCAGTATGTCAGATTTTTCCTAGAGCTCTGTTTGTTCGTTACGGAGTTTACTGCTTTTATCCCTACAATAATTTTACTTGTAGTTATTTTTGGTTTTCTATCCCAAGTTGTTTTGGTATGTTATTTCTTCACTATGTTGTTGAAAACCCTCTTGGTGAGCTGTACTTTGTAATTATTTATTGTGAATTATGTGAATTTATGTTGTGTAGATGTTATTTCCTATGAGTGTCTTATTTCCACTTTGGCTTTGTGATGACTTCTAAGGTTTTTCCACTGGTTCAGTACTAAACTTTTACACTAATTTCCTGATTTGGGTTTCCCCCAGCACATCTTGGATTCCACATCTACATGTGTCTTGGGATATCAGTCTTTCACGAAACTTGCTTTTGCTGTTTTAGGGCCTGGCCTGGGTGGCCTGCTTCCTTGCTGCTTCCATAACTTACTAGGCCTTTTCTCCTTGGTGGGTAAAGCCTTCCAGACCCCAGAGATTTGCAAGGGTCTTCTGTCCAGTTTCTGAATTTACAAAGAATTAAGACCACATTTTGTGTCTTTAAATTGGCATTAAATTAAACAGTTGAAATTGGTGTAGGGACAAAAGGTATAGAATCCATAGTGATGGAAAAGAACTCTTTAAAAAAAGCCTGGTATATTGAAGAGAATATAATAGAACTTAGTAGTAATGGGTAGAGTAGATAGATTAGAAACAAAAGCTGGTGGGTTAAATGGCAGATTTGACGTGGAAGAAGAAAAACAGACCCCAGGCATACGTCCAAGTCAGATACCAGCCTTGAAATCTCAGTTCATGTGCTTACTACTCAGGTCCAGGTTTTCTTTCTGTTTCTGGAATCTGAGAATTTTTCTTTTTGTCAGGCTATGTTGAAAAAAGATTTTTTTGTCTTAGTGTGTATTTGTGACTGCTGTTTTACATTAGTCCAGTATTTATCGTGTTGGCAAGGGGTGAGGCGTGGTCAGATACTCCTCTCACTTCAGTGCAGCCTGTTGCCTCAAGTTTTGTATGCGTTTCTTTAAAAAAAATTTCTAGAGTTTGACTTGATGTGTTTAAGAATATGCAGATTTTAAATTTTGTTAACACCAAATGCTTTCTATGCAGGTTCGGCAGCCCCGCCAACAGTATGTATGGTTTTTCATTTAAGCATTTTATCAACTAAAATTTTGTCAGTCTGGAGGAGAGCAAGGAGGAGGGTGGAGGACTGTGGGTACTTGGGTGTTGGGAAAACTGTGATGCCTGCACCACAGGGGAGAAGTTCTATATTGTGAAAACATAACAAGGACATTTTAAAAAAAAAGATAATGAAACAAGATTTTTTTTTTAAAGATTTATTTATTTATGAATACAAGAGCTGGGGTACAGGCCAGATATGTGGAGGGTGAGAGGACCCACCAGAGGCAGAGTAGGGAACAGAACAGGCAGACTGATGAAATACAGTGCTGAGGGAGCAGTGGGCAAGACAGGAGAGGTCTGCCTCACCATGTGGGTTGCTCCCTGGCCACCCGGGGATCGAACTCGTGCTGCAGAGGCTGAAGATTGCTTCATAGTGTGGTGCTTAACCCCTTGTGCCACCAGGGAGGCCCTGAAACAAGATAATTTTGTCAATAAAAAAAAATTATCCCAGAAAATGTCATTTCAAGGGCAAGAAGGCTGTAATTTGCATTTTCTAAATTGTCCGTAGAGTTGACTTTGGTGTCTTGGCCATTTCTTTATCTTTTATGATTTGCCTGTTTATATGCATTTTCTTTTTGTCCCTTGGGTTGCTTCTCATTTTTGTTAAGGAGTTGGAACTCTGATTTTTCTGTGTATTACTCCTGTACTCTGATTTTTTTTTTTTTAAACATATTTGTTTATCCATACAAGAGCTGGGGTGCAGGCCAGGGATGCAGGAGGTGAGAGGATTCACCACAGACAGAGTGGAGAGCTGAACAGGCAGATCTACTGAAATACACTGCTGAGGGGAGCAGTGGGTGATACTGGAGAGACAGGAGAGGTCTGCTGTGCCATGTGGGGTTTGCTCCCTAGCTGGGGATCAAACTTGTGCTGCAGTGGCTGCTGATAGCTTTGTAGTGCTGAGACTTAACCCCTTGCGCCAATAAGGGGGCCCCTACTACTGTTTTTTTTTTCTTAGTGTCTTTTAATTTTCTTTATACTTCCTTTTATCACACCGAACTTTTTTTTTTTGTATTTTTTATTCTGACAAAATATTCATGACATAAAATGTACAGTTTTGGTCATTCTTAGGTATGTGTTCAGTGGTACTAAGTATATTTACAGTATTGTGTGGTACCATCGCCACCACCCATCTCCAGAACTTCTTCATCTTCCCAAACTGAAACTCTGTCCCCCCTCAGCACTAACTCCTCATTCTCCCCTATCTCCAGCTTTTGGTAACTAATTTCTAATCTACATTCTGTCTCTATGAACTAACTTATTCTGGCTACTTCTTATAAGTGGAATCACTTATAAGTGATGTCCTTTATGTTTGACCTATTAACATAGCACCTGCAAGTTTTACCTGTGCTGTGTCATATGTCAGAATTTCACTTTTAAGACTGAATAACATGCTGGCATTTGTATAGACCACATTTTGTTTATTCATTCATGCTTCAGTGGACAATTGAATTGTTCCTCCTTTCGGTCACTGTGAATAATGCTGCTGTGAACATTGGTATGCAAATACCTGTTCAAATACCTGCTTTCAATTCTTTTGGTTTTCTACAGAAGTGGAATTGATGGGTCATGTGGTAATTCTATTTTTAATTTTTTGAGGACCAGCCACACTACTTTTCACAGTGGTTACACCATTTTACATCCTACTGGCAATGCCCAAGGGCTCCGTTTATCCACATCTCTGCCAACACAACACTTGTTATTTTCTGCCCTTTGGCAGGAGCCATGCTACTGGGTGTGAAGTGTTCACTGGGGCTTTCATTTGCAGTTCCCGAGCAGCTTACTGTATTGCTCATCTTTTCATGTGCTTACTGGCCATTTGTCTGTCTTCCTTTTATCTTTTACCCTTGGTAGTTTTCCTGTCTACTTCTGTATATTTCCTGTTTGAAAATTTCTCTGTATTAAGAAATCTTTTTGAATTGAGATTGCGTTTGTCAGATTTTTTAAGGGGTCCGGTTAGGATTCTCTTGGGATTGTACTGGATTTGTAGACTAATTGGAGGATCATTGGTATGTTTACATACTGCAGTCTTTTCTGTTCAGAAACATGGACTGTCTCTTTTCTTCTAACTTTTCAGTCATGCTTTATAAAGACTTTGCACTCTGTGAATTTATTCCTGTGTGTTGTGCTCTTGTGAATGGGCTGGTATTATTAATGTCTGAATGATGAATGGTTTATTTTGGATTTGTTCATGTTGAGAGCTTGTCTGGGATTCTAGCAGGGGAGCACAGATACTCATATACCCTCTATATACAAGTGTAGGTACTAGGGGGTATGTATAGACCCAAGCTCTTTGACCGAGTGTGCAGCTTTGGGAGGGCATAGCTGGAGAGATGAGAGAAGGGGACACCTGCCTAGATCAGCTGAATCAACCCTGGCTATCAATGAGGTGACAGATGTTGCAACCAGATGATCCTGACACCTTGGACTTGTCCATGTTGAAATAGATTCTTAAGATGGACCTTTTACATTTTCTTCTGTTGATCCCCATTAACTTGGACTCTTACCTTGTTTGAGTTTGGATTCTTTTGCAAAACCAGAGCTTTCAAAATGTACCTTCCTTCCTCAGACCATTCATAAAAATATCAAGATCTTTTCTAGGACTTGTCTCCAAGATAAGTGTTTGTATTTATCCATCTAAATAAAATCAAGTTTATTTCTGTTCTAGCCTAGCATGAATTCAGGAACCCCAAAGCTGATAAATCACCATCTAGAGAAGCCCTTCAGTGTCCCAATCCATTGTTCTTACTTCCCAGTTAACTCCTTATTTTTAGCCAGAACTCTTCAGTTCTGGTTAATTCCCTTTCCTCTCCTCTCCTCCTATCTAGCCTGTCCCTCGTCCCTTCTCCCCACTCCGTCTCCTCCTCTGCTTTCTCCTTTTCTTCTTTTACTTCCTCCTCCCTTTCCTTTTCCCCTGTCCTCTCCTCCTCTTCACCTGATCAGGGACTGACTTTTGACTTCTGCTTATCCCCAGCCAGGACATCACAGGGGACATTTACTATTTCAACTTTGCCAACGGGCAGTCCATGTGGGACCATCCGTGTGATGAGCACTATCGGAACTTAGTGATCCAAGAGCGAGGGAAGCTGTCAACTTCCGGGGCCATTAAGAAGAAAGACAGGAAAAAGAAAAAGGAAAAGAAAGACAAGAAGGACAGAGAGACCTCCAAAAGTCCCCTGGTGAGTCAGTGGATGCCAGCACCCAGGAGTCCAGGCCTGAAACCTGAGGGGGCTTGGGAACCTCTAGGTGTTAGTGGCCGAGCAGGTGAGAACAACAGTAAGCCAGTAAAACTTGATAGAACAGCCTGTCTGCTGGCAGATCCTCGTTTCAACTTCTCGAAGTTGTTACTGTCTCTAAACATGTCCTTTCCTTCACTCAGGATCCACGCATTACATACTAGATTAGTGAGGGGAGGGTGTTCTGCTGAGGATGGTATTTTGCTGTGGTCCAAGAAGTGATACCATTTGCCCCCCTAGAGAGCGTTGGCAGTGGCCAGTGAGCCTGGATGAGTGTGGCGCGTGCTCTTCTCACAGCCGGGTCCGCCGAGTGTGGCTTCATGATGAGCCTCAATGGTGTGAATTCCTTGCTGTCAGGACACCAGTGCCTGCCAGATCCAAAAAGAAAAGCTTTGGGCTTTATCCTGTCGGTTATCCTTGATGCTCTTGTTCTTGGTAGGGATCACTGAATTTGATTGCAGTGGGGGGAAAAAAGAGAAAACAAAAGTTGGTTTTTTTTTTTTTTTTAAACTCAGTGTTGAGAGTGCTCCAGATGTCTGAACTTAGGAAGCAGAGCTGTTGCCCACATTTTATAGGTGGAGAAGCTAAGACTTGGCACCATCCGGAAGTGAGGCCCAGGTTCTGCCAGAACCCTGTGTGCAAGAAACCCCCTTTCTTCCTCACTCACATGTGGGGCTTGCTGAAAAGTTGGAGGCAGATAGGAACTCAGTTGGGGACCCAGGTGGGGAGCATTGAGAATATCTTTGCAACCCTCTTAATGGTCCAGTTGGTTTGCATTTTTGCTCATAGTCTTTACTTCCCACCAGAGCCTGCCTCTTACTTTTTAGCAGTGAGTTCCTTCACCTCCCTCCCTCTTCTTTTTCTCTCCCCCTTCTCTAGGTGTTCTGACATTGAATGGTTACTGATGAGTTGATTATTTGTATCATTGCTGAGCTCTGCAGATACTTCTTTCCCCCACATATTCCTGCTCTTGGTTCTAAGAAAAGAAATAACAAACCATTCCTCCAGATAGAGAAAATAGGATTGGCAGTTTCCAGATAGGTTGAATTTGCTGATATCTCTTTGAAAGGCTAAAAATGGGTAATTGACTTTTCACTACCTGTGACTATTTAAAGTGATAAGCAGAATCTGGATAGACTCCAGCGTAGCTGAAGGGAGAGAGGAAATGAAGTCAGGATTCTGGGGCAAAGGTGCGGGTAACAGACCTCAGTTCCTGGAGCTCCCTGTGAGGAAGAATTCCTTCTGTGCTTTCAGGAGCTAAGGACAGCTGGGCCCCTTGGGCTGTCAGTCTGGATCTAGGACTCAGGACAGGCCCCTCCAGCCTGAGTTTGGCCTGTGGGCAGCCCTGAGCCTGTGGGCAACGTGAACTCAGGTGTTTTGGGCATCCTGGTGGTGTGTACTCACAGGCTGGGTAGCATTTGGTGCACATGATTTCAGGGTATGGCTGATCTTTTATGGATCTTTCTAAGCTCAAGATTTTTTTTTTAAATTTATTTAAAGTTTGCTTGTTTATTTGTTTGCTTGTTTGTTTATTTATTTATTATTCATACAAGCACTGGGTACAGTCAGAAGTGCAGGAGGGTGAGAGAATTCACCAGAGCTGGAGCGGAGAGCAGAACAGGCAGACTGATGAAGTACACTGCTGAGGGGCACAGCGGGTAGCAGGAGAGGTCTGCGCACCATGTGGGACCCTCGCCCTGCGCCGGGGATCGAACCAGCGCTGCAGAGGCTGCAGGCAGCTTTGCAATCCAGCGCTCAAACGCTGCGCCACTGGGGAGGCCCTAAGCTCATGATCTTATGACTGAGCTGAACTCTCCTGAGCGGGACTAACTCATGCTTTTAGTAGAAGACCTAGATGAGTTTTCAAGCATCAGCTCCCTGGTTTGTTTCCCCTGTTCTCTCCCTTTTTAACCAAAACTGTTATTTCTTGATGAGGTTGGTAGACTTCATAAAATTAATCTGTCATAGAACTTAGTGCCCAGAGATACCATAGGGATAATCTGGTTGGTGATTTTTAGACTTTTGGTAGTTGTGATGTCCTATATTCAAATCGGTTCCTCCCAAGAATTTCAGCACAAGTTTGAGGAGTTGTGGATGAATCTGGAGGGGGTGTGGGTCTTGGCAACACCCCTTCCCCCATCACATGCATACAAAAGCACTCACCCCCCACCCAAGGGACCATGTGGAACCAAACTCTAGGTTCCACAGAGTAAGATTTGTAAGCCATTGATCTAGTCTAGCTTCCTCTCCATAAGTAAGAAAACAGGGGCCCAGAAAACAATGTACTTTCAACCCATGGGAATTTTTAGCTGTTCTTCCCTCTTTGGCTTGTGTTTTACTTTAAATGGTGGGTAGGTTTCTGCTAGGGGCTTGCCAGGGGCTGAGGTTGCAAGTATAAGCCAGAAGTGCTTTGCCTTAGTTTTCTCTGCATGTTTATCCATCTAGGATACACAGCCTGAGCAGGGACTTCCGCCTGCCTCCTCCATTCTCCGTGGCCCATCCCCTCTCTCAGCACCTGGGCTTGCTGATCTGGACCTAGACCAAGAACTGCAGGCTAGAAGTGAGGGCTCGTTTAAGAAAGGGAAGAACCCAGGCGTGCTGGGAGACACTCCCTGGCCCCTCATGGGCACCCTGCCCAGCAAGCTGCAGCCACTCTCCAAAGGCCAAGCTCCCCGAAACCACCAGATCTTTGCCGACGTGGAGAAAATTTTAGGCAGGGCCCCCGTCCAATGCATGGCAGAATTAGGTGATCAGCAGGGTCTGGAGAAACCCCAGAAGCTGACAGAGAAAATCTACCTGGGATTTTCAGACCCTGAAATAGAAGAGCTGGACATGAGAACGAGACAGCAGAAACCTGGCGCTCTGGGCTCTGAGACCATTGGGCCTTTCCAGAATGGGCAGGATGTATTAGAAAGCAGAAGTGAGGCCTCTATCCATTCAAGGCTTTCTGAAACCAGCAAGGGCCTGCAGCTGAAAGGGGAGCAACACAGCCAGAGCATGGCCAAACTGAGTTCCACTGGCCCCGGGGGAGACAAGGGCCAGAGCCCCATTCCCTTGCCATCCCCGGAGGAGGAGCATTCCCTGTCTCCTTGTTCCTCTGATCAGCTGCAGTCTATCAGGAAGAGCAAGCTGTTCTTGGTAGAGAGCAGCACAGCTGAAGACCTGAGCTGCCAGGGTGTTCCTGGGGAAGGTGGGAGTGTGGGCAGGGGAAGAAAGAGGCGAGAACCCCCAATATTATGGATGGGGCAGGTCTCTAAGCTTGTCAACAAGGACACTCCTGGGAGCTGCAAAGAACCAGAGCCTTGTGACCCTGAGACTCCAGGGGCCTCAGCTAATGATCTACTTCAGCGACTCTTTCTAATGCCCCCTGATACCCTGGCTTCAGAACCAGCTCAGAACTCCCTTTCAGAGAGTGCCCCTAGGACATCTCCTAGTGAGAAGAGACAACCTCCAGGGTCTTCAGAGCCCTCTGCAGAAGACAGGAAGCACAGTGTATGTGGGCCTGACTTGGAGAGCAGCAGTAGTAACATGGCCTCCCACCTAGGCTCTCAGATTGTGGGGGAGATGAACAACTTCCCCTGGGACCTGCAGACCTCTCAGGGGTCTAAGCAAGGACTAGGTCCTTTGGGCCCCAGAGATCAACATTGCTTCCCCTTCCTAGTTTCCCAGCTGTCCCACATGCAGAGCTCTGCTGAGGAGCAGTCAGACAGTGAAGACTACTCTGAGGATCAGAGGTTCTACCAGCACATCCTGCAGATGGCCGATATCTCCAGGCGGCTGGAGGACCTGGGGCTGCCTGAGAGCATGCAGGAAATACCGTGCAAAGACATCACCAGCATGATCTGTTGCATGGCAGCTGAGCCTTCCAGGATGTCTAGTGAGGGTGAGCACGAGCCCATCAGAGCCATGGAGAGGGAGTCAAGCTTTCTGACGTGGGGGCCAGAGCTGTTGGAGCATCCTCAGGGAGTGGCCCCAGCCCCTGCTGAGAAGGAGGCCTCTCAGCAAACTGGTGGCCGGCCAAACATCAGCCCCCTCAGGCAAGGGCCAGTCGAACTGAATTCCAACAGAGAGCCTGCTGCTGAGCCAGGCAGGATACAGCTTCTCAACCAGGTAGGCTTCTTAGATAGCATGGTTGATAGGCCTCTAGGAACTTGGCAGGGAAGGGAGCAGCTTTCCTGTTACTTGCTGTCACTTGGTGAATAGCGATCCCTTAACTACCCAAGATGGCCATCTTGCGGGGTATTTTATGTATCTTCTACATAATCACCTCTAAGATAGGGGCTGAGGATATCCGGACCTCCCTTCCCTGACCTAACAGTAAGTAGGGGCCCGGGGGTGTTTACACGATTTGAAGGTGATCATTTCTGAGCGTGAGCCAGGTGGCACCCATCTGGGCACTTGTGCGGGACACTGGTACCTTTCTGGGATTTGGGAAGCCTTTTCCATCAGCTGACTGTAGAGAGAGGCACCAGCGCCCAAGGTCAACTTGTCCAGTTTTGGAATCACACAGAACTAGAGAGTTGATACTGTCCTGAGGGGCTGAAGCCCAGAGTGTCTCTGCTATTCAGTGAATGGTGTCTGTTCCTGTCAGGCTGGTTCCGATCCAGTTTGTGCCTTCACCTCCTGTCCTGGGATTTGCCCTGTCATTCTGACTCTTTGTCCCTTTAAAGAGTCATACCACAGTCGCCATTCAGGAGTAGTCAGTTTGGAGCAGAGACCCTGGGGGTCAATCTGATTTTCCCAGCTATTCTGCTGCTGTTGCCCAGCTGTGGCTTTACCCAGTTGTTACCTCTGGTTCCTAATTGCTGGCGTGCGCTGCTTCTCCGTTAGCTCTAATAACCACTGTAGCACTATAAATATCGGATAAGCTGCAGATTATCTTGAAAGTTTTAATTAGCCCAATGGCAGCAAGTTTATCTGCTCTGAAGGACAACGCCACACACAGCCCATAGTCAGAGTTAATGGCCATCTATAGAAGATGATCAGCTAGGAGCCAGGAATGTATAATTTCCCCGCTAACCACTGATTTGGTAAAGGCCTGGGAGAACAAAGCCCTCAGCATGCCTGTCTCCCTCCCTCAGGCCCCCAGCACGTTAGCAAATTAACCATGTTAGGAGTCTATAATTTTCCATAAATATAGTGTGAAAAGAGTTTTGCTTGTGGATACATTGGGGCTGGTTAGAGAGGCTGAAGCCAGGAGGAGCAGGCCTGGTTTGTGCACAGTTCACCTCAGAGATTTCCTGGGCTCCTTTTCTGTCACAGCCAGGAGGCAGAGTGGGACACTGGCCTAGAGATAGCCCTGGGCTCCAGTCCCACATCTGCCCCTGCTGCCCGTGCCTGCAGGCAGGGGTCCTGACCTCACCAGTCTCTGCTCACGTGTGGACAGTGAGCCTCAGGTTGTTCAGAGAATAAAATGAGACATGGCCGTCAAGGCGCTAACCCTGCTGCCTGGCGCTTGGGTAATGTGGGCCAATTTATTATGTCCATTTATTTATTGAACTTAGTCAAGAAGTTTATTATTGACTTTATCTGAAAAATCTTCATTAAAAATAAATCATGTTTTCTCAGATTGGGGAATATAGACCGAAAGAGTACTTGAGTTGTGTACCCCTATTATTTTTATTGTTCTCAGCTCCTTTCTCCCTAGTGAAGATGCTCTGCTACAGGCCAGGTGATGGGGAGTCTACAGAGGCTCGGGAATGGATCTCATGTCACCTTCCTGATGGCGTCCCCATTGTAGAAACCAGCCCTATTCAGAACTCCCCTCCCCAGTGGTCTGGCCCCTAGGCCAAGGCTGTGGGGAGAAGATGGGCTGTCTGAATTCCTTTAGTCTGGCCTCCTCCAGCTTCTCTTTCTATCTTCAATCCCTGTGGGACTAGAGAAGAATGGATTTATTGTGGTGTTTTAGACAGTTTATGTTTGAGAAATGAATTTAAAGAGCTCCTTGCAAGTTGTCTCTGGACTGTTGTCCTTGCCTCTGGTCCTGACAAGCCCAGACTCTTGCAATGCAAATCCCTTAGAGAGTATAGCCCTGAACCACTATTATATGAGCCTGGCGTTCAGAATCTCATCTGACCTTCCCCACCAACTTCCTTAAGTGTAAGACGTGCATCATCTCTCTCTCTGAGAATCAAGGATTCTGTGAGTAGCCCCAAGCCTCACAAGTTGACTCTTAGCCTGAGTTCTGTCCCCAGGCCTCTCTGGCATGAAGGCTTCCTTAGGCCATCCTTAGAACAGGGAAAGGCCTAACCCACCTGGTCAGGCTCCTTCCTTGGGAAAGGTTCCTTCCAGTCATCTTCCTCATCAGTGCAAGGGAAGTTGTTGCTTGTGTAGTGTTTTTCATGGTTAATGTTAATTGTAATCAGTAGTCTGTGTCCATAGTTAAGCCAAGTCAAATAATACCAAAACATAACATAACAAACATAATACATAACAAAATACTCTAGTTCCTGGGTGGGTACCCCTCTCTGAAGGCAACCACTTTCTTCTGGTACTTCCATACTTGTAAATAGTATGCTAAGGTTGCTTTTTTCTTGATTAATCAGTTTTAAAATTTATCTGTCGAGACTTCTCCTTCTGGTAGATGAGGCTTTTGTCTCTGCTCTCTCCTCCCCCATGCTGCCTGTGCAGCTTCTGAAAGGGGAGCAGGACTGGAGGCAGCATCTGCCAGATGCACGAGAACTGCTCACTGTGCTGTAGCAGCAGAGTTATGAGGATCAGGAAACCAGCCTGTGATTTCTCACACAGTTGGTACAATGGTAATTTCTGGATGTTGTGTTTCATTAGAGCCTCTGAACGGAGGTGGTTTACATTTGAGCGGGCAGGATTTAGACGTTTTATTTTTGTATCTGTCTCTTACACTGCCAGAGCCATGCGGTTTCTAATAAGATGTTTTCTGTGGCCCAGGCCCTGGGCTCCTCCTCAGCCCTAGTCCACGTTCCTCTCGGGGGCCTGGCCCCTCTGCGAGGCCTGGTGGATGGCCCGCCTGCTGCTCTTCGTGGGTCTCAGAGCGTGAGCCTGGGCAGTTCCGTGGAGTCCCGTCAGCTTGGAGAGCTCCCACTGGTAACTACCTTCTCTTCTGTTCAGTGTATTTAGTTATGACGTGTTCTCCGTGTGCTGTGCACGGAGCTTTGGCCCAGAATGAGCACAGAGGGCATGGGCAGAGTCCTCAGAGTTCAGAATTTTGCCGGGTAGGTGAGTCACCTCTGTGTGATGGTGAACCTGGGCTCTGGGAAGCGGGGAAGAGACCCACGCCCTAGGGTCTGCAGTGCTAACTTCCCAGTCTACACAGCCAGGACAGGAGGAGTTGGAGAAGGGAGGGATCAGTTGTGTGAGCCAGAGTTGCTCGGGTCAGCTTTGTGGTCATGGCGGTCATGATCTGGGAAATATCTAAACAGAGAGAGAGAGAGTGGGGAAAGCGTTCGGAAGGTCATTCTGAAGGTTTTCCTAGTGAGTCCCTTTATTTTCCTTCCCTGTTTTGGAGCCTTCACAGGGTCTCAAGACTTCAGCTTATCCAAAGGGTCTCTTGGGCTCTGTCCATGAGGACAAGAATGCTCTCAGTCTCTTGGCTTTGGGGGAGGAGACCAACGAGGATGATGAGGTGGAGAGCGACAATCAGGTAATAATAAATCTTCTCCCAGCCTGGAATCCCACTGCTGTTGTTTCCTTGGGAATTTTTTTTATTGCGGTGAAATATATATGTAACATGAAAGTTACCATTTTCCCCACTCTTAAGGGTATAATTCAATGGCCTTCATGACCTACACGTGTTGTGTAATCATCACCACTATACATCTCCAGAAGTTGTTCATCCTAAACAGAAAATCTGTACCATTAAGCAAAAAACAAAAAACCCTTCCCCATCCAACCCTCTCCTTAGCCCCTCGTAACCTCTAATCTACTTTCTGTCTCTGAACTTACCTACTCTAGATATTGCATGTAAGTGGAATCATACCTTATTTGTCCTTTTCTGTCTGGCCTCATTCTTGTTGCATAGGTATTTTCAGAGCTGACCTATGCTGTCACATATATTAGAACTTCATTCTCTTTTGGGTTGAATAATACTCTATTGTATGAATTAACATGTTGCTTAACAACGTTTCAATCAAGATGGATCGAATATACGATGGAGGTCCCATTTGACTATGCTCTACAGCCTCGTGGTAGGATGTGCCATCTAGGTTTGTGTGATTATATGCTATGACCTTCACACTGTGCAGAAATCTAATGACACATTTCTCAGACTGTGTCCCCATTGTTAAACGAGGTGTGTCTGTCTACCATGTTATGTTTGTCCACTCACCTATCGATGGACACTTGCATTGCTCATGGCTAAGTTTCAAGGTACTTTGAAAACAGGTAAAAATGATTTTCCAGCCACAGCTTCATTTCTGCCCAGTATATATACCTCCTGTGTCTGACCTAGATGGCTCTTATCCTAGAGCAGTCCTCCAACTTACCACTCACAATCATTTTTGTTTTCAGAGTGTGCGCAGCTCAAGTGAGCTCCTTAAGAACCTGCACCTGGACATTGGGGCACTCGGGGGTGACTTTGAGTATGAGGTAAGAGCTGGAAACCCTTCCAGAATGCCTCAGCCTGGTTTGTCCCTCCTTCTTTCATCAGCCTTTCTCCTTGTGGGATGCATATTTGCAAAGAGAACCATTTTGTCCCAGTCCCATCCAGATGTGCTTTCTGGGTGGTGAGGATGGACAAGAGGGGGAGGGGATCATCCATTTACTCTTTTATCAAATGACCACATTCATTGAATATTTCTACATGAGTCACTTTGTTGGTACTGTAGGTCACAGAAGCATGAATTAGAGGCAATTACTTCCCTCTAAGAGTTTATAGTCTCATAAAAGAGAGACTTAAGTGACTGGAAACAGTATCATGGTAGGGAAGAATTAGGGGTCTCCTGCCCATATGGATGCCCATATGGATGGCTTCAGTGAGAAACTGCAATCTGCCGTGAGCCAGGAAGGGCGATGGGCAGGACTGGACAAGTCATTAGTGAGAGTGAGTGCTGCACGGTAGAGGCAGAGGTATGCAGTGAGGTTGGGGATGATGAGGTGCCTTCTTTGGAGTTCAGAGCACATGCCGGAGAGGAGTGAGCGTAGGATCATGGAGGTAAGTTGGGCTGGGTGAAATTTGGATTGGATCGTACAGGCATTGGGAGCCATCAGAGGTTTTAAGCAGGTGTAATGTCTTAACATTACGAATTTTTGTTGAATGCTCGCTCTGTAGCAGACCATGATGCTAGACTCTGGGGGAAAATCGCATAACTGTGGGATATGGATCCTGGGTGGTCTCCAGGAGTTTGCAGTTAGAAAGAACACTAGGTACTTGGTGTTTTGTAAGTGTTATGTAAGTGTGAGTAAATGAATATTTAGGAAACTATAAAGCAGGGTAGTGCATGTAAAAAGTCACAGCATAGGCACTCTGTCTGGAAGAAGGGAAGAATTACTTGCCTAGAGATCAGGTAAAACTTGGTGGAGGGATATTTGACCTGGGTCTTGAAAAGTAGATTTTGGATATGGGGGATAAAAGGGTTATTTTAGGCAAGTGACTGACAAGCAAAGGCACAAGGGTTGGGAAATGCAGAATATTGGTGGGGATAGCTTCCAGGCTCTTCCAGACACTCTGCCCCTGTCCACCTCCACAATCCTGTTGCTTCTAGTCTTTGTCTCCATGGTGTGTCCTCCTCTACCACCAGAATGTTATTTAAAACAAAACCCAAAACTTACCAAGTCTTTTTAATACCTAAAAAACTCCAAATGCATTTTTGTACTTGAACAGTCCCCAATATATGCTATTTTATCTAGTCTTCAATTCATTAATCTTTAACACATTAACATTTCTCCAAATATTCCAAGTGTACTCATGCACGCAATAAATCATGAAGTCAACAACTGAGATTTCCCCAAATCTTTACATCTTGATTGAAAATGTAGTGAAACATTTTTCACGAGTAAATTCTTTGAGACTTTAAACACTTTAGGAATGTAACAAATCACTCACATTTTTATCAGAATGAACACAAAACTCACCAAACATAAGTGCTCACACTGGATTTAAGTGTGTCCTTATTATCTCTTATTGTGTATCCTTATTGTTACCTCTGGTCATGGTCTTATTATTTCTGATTCTTATCTCTTAGTCTTCTGCCACCTTGAGAGCCAGGGTTTAACATCAGACTGGCTGAGGATGCAGATGCTGGTAAGGCTCTGGTTTGGTACCAAGACCTGAGTTGCAGCTGGGCCTTCCCAAGTGACTCAACTAGCTGCTGGGAAGATCCCTTTTTATAGTTAGGCTTTCTCTGTTAACCCAGAATCTCTCCAGATTTCTGGTTCTGCACAGATATATTTTGACTGTGACTGTAACACACTCTGCCAAATGTGACACTTTTCTCCCCTCTTTATTAACCAGGTCTTTGTCTGCTCTGGTCTGGTTGATTTAAATACCAAGCCTTCAGCCTATTTGGTTCCCTGAAACGCCACCTTTGTTCCTTATTGACCATTGATACCTTGTATCAGTGATGAAATCAAAGAGCGTGCTGGGGATTTGAGCCTAGAAGAGTGTCAGGAGGGCTGGCTTGCTTTTGGAGAATGAGGACAAGTCTCTGAGACTGAGCATGTTGAGGGGAGAGATTCCAGTTGATTCATGCCCAGCACCTAGCCCACTGCCTGGGAGAAGGAAGCATGTGGGGATATTTTGCTGAGCAACTGAGTGAGCAGAAGGGTGAATGAATGAGCCAGGCTGTTGTAGGAGGGCAGCTCGGGTTGCACGGTTCCTTCCTTGGCTCTCCAGTGTGCTGGGTGGAATATATACGTAGTGCTGGAAGATCCCAGTGTGATCGATCATGATGCATCTTGACTCTGGACTAGTTAATTTTTATTCACAATAGATGATAAATATCAACAAAAAGAGATTTTATTTGACTTGTGCTGGATTTTACTAAAAGCTCCCCTTCTAATGATGATGTATGCTGCTTCAGAGAAGTGGGAGCTTTCAGACATATTTTTTATAACCTCTTTAATATAAATAGGCAACCCAGTGTGAGGGGGGAAATGTCTGGAGTGGGAGGTGTTACAGACACCTCCCACCCCTGTCTCTAGCATCCCTGCAGATTTAGTTCTTTTTGCCACATGGAGTGTTGGATTCCTGTGTTCTAATCTCAGGAAGGAGCTAGGACTTTTCCAGGTGGGGTAGGTTAGTGGTAGGGATAGGTGGGGAGGTTTCAGATCAAAGCTGCCTCTACTTGGACCACAGTCATTGAAAATGTCTTTTGTCCCAGTGTATAGAACTTGGATCCTCTGAACTGCCCACCCCTTCCTGCTCCGGGCCTCCCAGGAAGTCCAAGATGGAGCTCTCCTTCCGGGGTTAGTTCCATCCTGTCTCCCTGTCAACAGTCACTTTGCTCATGATTCCATGAGAGGGCAGTAGGATGGCAAGAATGCATTTCTCTCTCTTTCTGCCTCCTTCCCCCTCCTCTCCTGCCTTCAGCTCAAACCCATTTCTAGTCTGTTACGGAATCAAAAGGGATATGTTTGTGGAACAGCCACTGAGAATGGGTGTGTGTGAAAGAGGGGAGAATGAAGGGTAGGCAGGCAGGTGGCATGTGGCCTTGTGGTGCTGATGAAAAAGCCCATGGGGGATCAAAGGGAAGGGAGGGAGCTGGGCTCAGAAATAACAGGATGATGTCAGTGTGATTGGAAAGCGCTAACGACACGGGGGAGCAGTGAAAAGAATTGAGACCAATGGGGTGGGAATGAGATGTGGAAAATTAACTGGACTGATGGCTGGCTTGGTGGGAGTCCCCGAGAACTGTGCCTGCACGAGATCGCGTGCAGCTCCCCGTCCTCCACTCCCTGCTGCCTGAGCCTCGCGCTTGATGGAGCCCTGCCTTTGTGCACTGGACTGGAGGAGGGGGCTGGCAGCTCTGGAGGCCTCAGAGCTTTTGGGGGGTATGTTAAATATTCATGCAGGGGCTCTTACAGGCTCTCTCCTGCACCCCCCTCCTCATGCAGATGGCAAGGTCTTTTTTGAAAAAGCAGCAGAAATTTGCCTTGTGACACTCAAGGACCTGGGGCTGTGACAAGAGACACGAGTCTGATCACCAATGAGCTGTGAGCAAAGCTCTGCTGAGGGCACAGACCCCCACCCTTGCCTGTCAGCTCTGCAGAGCACCGGGCAGGGGACGCTATCCTGGTGCCCAGTGGACATCCTGGCAAGGCTTTGGCCTGTGATGTTTTAGGAGGAGGGGCCAAGTGGAAGGGAGTGTGAGATGGATGGGATTTCCAGACACCCACCTCTCAGTCTTTTGTTTGTGGATAATCTACAGCAAATGTCCATTCTTCCACTGCTGTCCTCGCCCTCACACTGGGCCTCTGGCTGGCATGTCATTGTACTTCGTCCACATGGGTGCAGAGAATGCAAGCTCATTTATTTTAATATTAGCCATGTCTTAATACTTTCATATTTAGATAGTTGGAATAGGGTAAGCTCTGCCTTGTGAAAATCTTTGGAAGAATTTAACCTTCTGAGCTGCCTGGACTGGGCCTGACCTCCTTGTGGTCTGGCTGTATCCTTTCATGTAGAAAAATGGTAATCCATCTGTATCGGTGTCCTCTACTTTTTTTTTACACCATCTTGAATATTGAGTTAACATGTTGTTTTCCATAGTAAGACCTGTAACAAATATGAGTCTAATCTTACTTAACTTAGTAAAATAAATATTATGTCTCCATTTACAAAGTAGAAAGGAAGCTTCACCTCCTATGTTTGCTTGACACTTACTTAAAATAATTCAGCCAGTATGCATTTACTGAGCACCCATTATATGCCAGGAAATAGGCCTTAAGGAGAATATGGAGCTAATTTGATGAGGCAAACAGACAAGGAAATCGGCAACTTTAATGCGATAGTTGTTAGGGAGTGGATGGAGAAGGCTCATCTCAGGACAGCTGCCCCAGAGATCAGGGAAGGCTTTGTGGGAGTTTGTCAGGGGCGGAAGAGAGAGAGGGTTAAGAGTGTGCATGGCAGAGTAGTGAGCTAGCCTGGTGCTAATTCCTAGACAGCAGGAGAGGCTGTGTGTGTGGTGTGACTGGAGACTACCAGTGAGAAGCAGGCAGGGGGTGGAGAAGGGCTGTGGGCCATATGTGGAGGTGTGACCATGGTTGTGTTTGTGGCCCGACACTTCCTCCATCCCCTAATCCAAGGTCTGTTGCCAGGCAGCTCTCTGGAGGCCAGGTTTCACTGTCTATTTAGGCATGAGAGCCTTCTTTAACATGGAGCCACCATGGCAGGGTGGGTGCTTTTGCTGAGGGAGGACCAGATGTGGTTGCCACATACTCCTTGTACATCCTAAGTAAGACACCCCCACCTCCTCCTTGGAGTCTGTGGAAACCCCAGATCAGTTACTGAATTCCTGCTGAATTCAGGCCACTGTTGGGGATTGAGATAAACAGGCCTCATCTCACCCTGAGGTGCTTTTCTTAGTCTAGTGATGATGGCAGATTTCTTCCATGCTGTGGGTAGGGATGTTGAGAGGATAGGCAGCACTGGGCGGTCCCCCGCCTGCCTTATGCCATGGCATGAGAGAAACCTACTCCTCTTCACCTCCACCCTTTGCTTTTTGCCCAGGCGACATTACCACGGAGTCCAGTCCTCTTTACTCAAAGCACAAATTCATACCAGGGCCACCTGAACATTTCACTGTTCTTTGTACTGAACCAAATTCCTTGTTCATGTGTGGGTCCTCACGATGGTGTTTGGCACATAGAAGGTCCTTGGATGCGTGGTCTTCTCATATGAGAATAGTTACCATATTTGGAATGTGTACAGGATGTCAGTTCTTCGTTCTTGAACTCATTTAATGAGTGTTAACTCATTTAATCTTTTTACATCCCTGTGAGGTAGATCTTCTTATATACTCATATTTTAGAGGAAGAAACCGAGGCACCGAGAAGTTAATTTAAGCTCACTCTTAAGTATGGAGCCCAAACTGGAGCCACATACCTGCTTCCAGCCCAGGGCAGTTGAGGCCCCTCTTCCGGTGTGAGGACTGGTAGTGGGGAGGGTGGGATTAGTCCACCGCTCCCAACCCTGTCCTGAGAAAGGGCCTGGTTTTAGCACAGGGAGGTCATGCTGATGGGCCAGACTCTAGCCGTAGTCGGTGCCCTTGTCACTGAGGGCGAGGTCAGCGGTGCTGGCAGGGTCACCACCCGGAGTCTCGACACTTTGGCCCTCAAACTTGTACATGGGTCTGCTGAGTAGGTGTTGCTCAGGACTGGGAGCTTTGAGGGACCCCAGACATTATCCCGCTCAGGTGCTCTCACCTCACATGTCATAGCTGAGTGAAACCACAGTGACTTGTCACACACCTGTTAGCGGCCATAGTGGCACTGTGCCCCTGCCCTGCTTGGGGGTGGGGGGGCTCCATCTGGCCCTTGCTTGCATCCCTCCCCCAATCCCATTTCCACACCACAGCACAGTTATTTTGTGCTGCTAGCAGGAGCAACAATGTAAGGTTTGTATGTTGGTAATTTGTTACCTAGAAGGCCCACAGTGTCTCTAGATTTCTGGCATATTAATAAAAGAGCTGCTGCTGTGTAAAAACAATGAACAAAGTGAGGGATGTGAGAAGCAGGGTGTGGCAGCTGTCGGGCGAGATGCTGACATTTCTGCCCCAGAAGCTGGCCAGGGACCTCAGTAGGTTGACAGCCTCCAGCTGCTGTACCCTTGGTCCACCCTGGCCCCTGCCAAGGTTGTGCTGGCCAGTGCAGTTGATGGAGCACCACAGGCCCTAGAGCCTGGCCATTTCCCCACGCAGGACCCCTCTCATGGGTACCTGCGTGGGGGCTCTCAGCAGCGCTGGCAAACATGGTCTCAGCTGTGCTGTGGCTTGAAGCTTTTCCTACTCGAGCACCTCCTTCCTTCTCTCTGCTCATAGGGCTCTCCCCACCATCAATCTCCTACATACCTTTTCCTGTCGTGACCTCGCTTCTCAGGACCGAGTTGACAGTCTTTTGACAGAGGGTCCTGTCTGCAGGGGTGTCATACAGGGGTGGCTTTAGGATGAGAGCTGCTGTCATTGTTCCTTATTTCTATGTGCCTTAAAGTATTTTATTGGAATCCTTTGGCTACAACCAAGTCCTGTCTAAGATGAAGGGAAAACTGTTCAATTGATATTGAAGTACTCTTAAGATTTCCAGGCATTCCCCCCCCCCCCAATAAGTTGACAGCTGATGGTTAATGGAGGAAAGTTGTGTGTTCTAAACTTCCTCCCACCACTCCTGGAGAAGGGATGTTCTTGTCTTAGTCAAGTCCCTAGTGGCTGGGGAGAGACAAGACTCATGGCTGTTGAAGAGTCCATTCTCTTGGAAGCTTTCCCTGCTGTGTTTTACAAATGAAAATAGAAATTCTGCACTTTGGTCCCTTTTTCTCAGGTGATTCTCATCATCATCATCATAAGTAAACATTGGCCTCTGAGCCTGCAGTCTTCTGATGTGGCTAATGGGGCTGGAGGACGTGAGGACTGGTGATGGAGTTGCAGAGTCCCGGGTGGCTAGAATCCCGCTGGTTTCCAAGCCCCTCGGTGGCTGGGGGCTATAGTGGGTGTATCCTAATCTCCAAAGACAGATGTGGGATGGTGCCAGGAATCTGTTTTAAAAAGCTATTGGTGTGTTTGATAACCATTGTTGTCAAGGTTGGGGCACTGGTCTGTGGGAGTCAGGGCCTGGAGCCTGGCTGGCAGCAAGTCTCCAAACTCCTTTTATAAATTCCTTCCTTTCTGACATGGTCTGCCATTCCCTAGGAGTCTCCACGAGCCAACCAGCCAGAGGGGAAGGAGGACGGTTCTCTGGACTCTGAAGCTGCCAGTCCCCCGACTCCCGGCAAGCTCTTCAGCCAAGGTGCAGACAGCAGCCTGAGTAGTGCCCATGGCAAAGGGCGAGAGGAAAGAGGGCCGAGCTCTTGGCTCCCAGAGAAAGCAAAGAATGAGAAGAGTGATCCTGGGAGTTCTAGAAGCCTGGTGATCCCTGGTGTGGACCCTGTGGGCGAACAGCCTGCCAAGGCCAATACAAAAGAGGCACCAGAGGAGCAAGTGGAGGTCAGGGAAGAGGATCTCAGGAAAGAAGAGGCAGCAATGGAGCCAAAGAAGGAGGCTTCTGCCCCGAAAGAGAGCAGATCCGACATCAGTGAAGTAAGTCCCTTTGTCCCACAGGCAGTTGATGCCCGCAGCCCTCCACTGCTCTCAGGCCCTCTGCAGACACCTGTCCCTGTGTGTTTGTTACTGAGGCAGGAAAGTCATCTGCAGGCCCTGCAGTGGGCTGTCAGCATCAGCCAGAGCCCTTAATTGTGACAAATATGCCCAGACCTAGTAGGCAGTAAAATTTTGACTGAAATGCCAAACCTGCTGGCACTAGAACTTCGGAGCAGAAATGTGCTTTTCCATGGCACCCTCCTGGGGTAGTCATGTCTTCTGCTTCCTTCCTCCTGTTTCATGCCTCCCCCTTCTACTTCTTGACATCAGTCGTGGCTGCAGCAGCATGAGTTCCCATAGAGAGAGGAGAATGCTAGGAGTGGGGTGGGGGACATCTGAGAGGGTCCTGACCCAGCACTGGTCACTTAAGTTACAAGGAGATGCCCATTGACTTCTGTGGCTCTTTCTGAACCAATCCAAGCTCAGGAGTGGTTGCTTTGGCAAGATGAGGCAGATGACCCAGATGGACAGAAGCAGTTCCCTGTAGGAGAGCCTTTGGCATTTTCTACTCTATACCCATTAATCCACCTGCAAGTAGATGATGAGAGGATTCATTTAAAGAGCTTGTAGCTATTTTCTGGAGAAGATAGTCTCAATTTGCTTTTTAGGATAGCTTCAAACCTCCCCTTCTGCTACCTTTCTAAGCATCTCCACTCTGCTTCACGAGGCTCTCCTTACCCCTGGAAATTTTTGTGAACCCAAGTCCAATGTGGTTGTGCTTGTCCATACTCAGCTGGGCTGAATGACCTGAGTGGGTGGGAGGCGATGAGAGAGTGCGGGGGTCCACAGGACTCTTTCAGTTGTCCATAAGAGGGGGTGTTGTGTGGGCCCAGCCCTGTAGTGGCACCACTGTCTGAGCATAATTCCCTGGGCGGTGACCCTGAGTTCGCTGTGCTCTGCCCGGGGTGATTTCTTTGTGGGTCTTTTTTTTTTCTCAGGAGTCAGAGATTAGTGACCACGTGAAAGACCTACAGCTCTCAGACGCTGCTGCCTTTGACCCCAAGTCCTTCTTTGACCTGGTGAGTCTGAAATGAGGGCCAGTAAGTGGTAGCGAAGACCATGGTTTGCAAGTCCCTGTGTTAATTTGCCTCTAGTGACATAGCTTGCCAGTGGCAAAGCCGGATTCAAATTTGGGTCTTCTCTAACTCCAGTTTCTTGGCTGACTAAGGATAACACTGGCTACTGTGTAGTTTTGTTGTAAGAAGAAAATGAAGTGAAGGATGTCAAGCATTAGCATGTAAACATGAAGTCAATATTAGCTCTTAGTATCAATATTATGGCTGCTGTGTGAACAGCCTGTGAGATCACGCAAGGTCATCGCCTCTGGGCTCTAGCAGGAACATTACATAAGTTTAGGAGGTTAGAGACCGGGGGTGTATGTGTGTGTATGTGTATTTTTGTGTATGGGGTCACTGAGCTGTGGTGAGGAGCAGTCCTTGGGCTCTGGTCAGAGGGATGCTGTAGTTTCATTTTTGAAGTTTAGACTTTGTTCTGGAATGCCAAAATGCATGGTTTCTTTGTCCCAGACCTTCCGCCCAGCCTGCTGTATTCCAGCTTCATTTGCCAGGTCTGCATCTAAGGGGAGTAGTTTGGGGTGCTTTTTGGCAGACGTTACCTCTAGCAACCATGCTCCATCTGTTTGGACGAGGCAGATCAAAGGGAAGGGATTAGTGGGAGAGGGTCAGGGATGAACAGTAATGATACGAGGGGGTACAGAGGAATTAGCAGGCTGTGTGCTCTAGCCCCTCACTGAGTCATGGGCTTAGGAGGCAGATGGCAGCTGCATTAAGTGGAGTAGAACTCAAACTGCAAGGAAAATGACACCAAAAAAGAAAAACCCCCAAGCTAGGAAGGAAGGCAAAAAGTCAGGGTTGGCAAAAACTCATGAAGCACAGCCATGTATGTAACAGAACTCTTTGAAGCCAGGGCTCCGGCCTTCTGAAGGCACCACCAGGTAGAGAAATGTACCCATCGGCATTTTTCTTCTCTATGGGAACGGGTGGAGGAAGGCACGGACGCCAGGTCAGACCTTGGCTGGGCATGCCACCATTTATCCGGGCTGATGATGGAACTGTTCCTATTAGCATTCAGTCAGGTAGCAATCCTTCACTGTAGACTTGGGGAAGGGAGAGGTGGCTCATGGTCCAGTGGCAGCCAGAGGGCAGCAGGGACCTGGCACCCATGTGGCACATGCTGCTTCTCCCCAACAGAGACCTGTGGGTTGTGCAGGGGAAAAGAACCAAGTGGGAGGAGCCCGCCAAATACCACTTCTAAGCTGCCCACAGGTCTGCTAGGCTTTTTGGTTTCTCTGCTGGTGCCCTGTTGGGCACTGGGTGAGGGAGACAGAGCTGGAAAGTGACATGTGTTATAGAACTTGGGCTTTGGAGTCAGTCCAGGGCACATCTGACCCCCAGTTCCATTGCTTCTGAGCTGTGTGACCTTGGGCAGAGGACATGTGCTGTCAAACCTGCGTCCTCTCTCTGTGAGATGAGGATAAGAGGATCAGTCTCATGGGGTTATTTTATCCCCATAATTTTATTGTGAAAATTTTCTATCATATGGAAAAATTAAAAGAATTTTACAGTGAATATCCAAGTATTTACCACTCAGAGTTGGCAACAAACATTTACTATACTCATGTTACCACATCTTTCCATCTAGTCACTATGATATCAATATTTTGAAGACATTGAAATGTTTAGCACAGTGCCTGGCACATGGTAGGCACCTTTGAGAGGTTTGAGTCAGGGTGGAGGGAGGCCCTGGTGGTAGAGGCAGACCTGATCACCCACCTCTGCTGTCTCTAGGACTTCGGTTTCCGTAGCCGGGTCTCGGAGGACCTGGTGGATGTCACCGTGCTTTCTACGGTTCTGGATGGAGCCTGTCAAGCGGTGAGTCTCTCTGGATGCTGGCCTAGGACCTCACTTTGGGGATCACACAGAGCTGAGCCATGCCCAATCCAGCGTGCATTTCTGGGGATTCCTTCCTCTGTAATCGTTAAAGGCTGGCCTGTGATGGGGCTTCCCAGCATTCCTGCTTTGCCCATCTGTTGAATTCTGATATTGCCCCCCACCCCATCTACTTATCTGTTTAGCTGTTCATTCAGCAACTGAAGTTGACCATCTGCTCCTGTGCAAAATGCTTATAGTCTCTGGATTTCAAGATACTCCTCAGCTTGGCCCATCCCACTTCTGCAGGTCATGCTAGGCCTACCTGCTCTGCACCAGCCAAGCCCACCTGGGCACACCATCCACCCCCTCCTCCACTCTGCCTGCTGGACTGCTTCTCTGTCCCAACAGGCTTCTCTGGTCTTGGAGGCACACCGCCGATGTCACCTCTTCCCCTGCCCCCTTTGCTCCCTTAGTGATGTTGCTTTTGCTTTATGGTTCTTTGTCACCTCTGCCAGATGTAAGCTCTGTGCGGGCATGGGTGACATCGGACCCTTTGTACTCAGAGTAGGATACAAGATGACTCATACACACACCCTGTCCCCAAGGAGCTTAAAGCTAGGAAGATAATTTTTCCTGCTCTTTGGGTTTGCTTAGAAGAGAGAGCTTCTGGCAGTCTGTCTCTATAAGTTTTAGGGAATGTTTGATTTGGCGAAAATGGAAGTTGTTGGTTGAAACAAACACGATGTTCAATGTGCAAAGAGTGCTGGAGATGGAGGGATGTCAGGCTGGTCCTGTCTGTGCCCCACATGTCCCTCTCAGCTCTGGCTGGTAATGCCTTCCTGGGCCACTGTCTAATCACCGGCTCACTGATGGCCTTGATCCCCCTATGCAGCATCAAAGGTCTGTAAAGACACAAAACAGGGCAGGTGAGAAAGGGTTTGGAGCAGGTAGGTTGTGAGGCACTGTTGGCAGCAGATAAGTGGCGGGGCATCTCCACTGCTCTGCATCAAAACCTGACCAGTATCAGAATTACTTGGGGACTTTATGAAAACAGATTTCTTGGTCCTTTCTAAAATCTAATGAGGTCAGCAGCCTACTTTTTGGGTCTTGCCACTTGGTATAAAGCAGGAGCCAGGCCTGCCTTAGATTTGGTCTCATGAGGTGCCCTCTGTGGCAGCCAGCTCAGGGATACTGAGCCCGATGCTGCCTCTCATGACCACAGGTGGAGGTGTTCTGGGTGCTCAGGTGACTGGCCACTTGGAGCCGTTGTCGAGCTCTCTCTCCAGTGCTTTCCTTCAGGCTGTGGAGGGGGCTAAGCTGCGAGTAGAGATGGGAGAAGGAGCAGCAACCTCTTTGTGGGACAGACACAACCGTAGGCCCAGTCCATCTTCCCCATGGACTCTCATGCATTTACCATTTATGCTGGATCTTTTCCAAGGCCACGGCCAGTGCAGAGGCTTAGAACTGAGCCAAACTATTTTTTCTTCACTTATTTTATACCTCTTTGATTTGATATAATTGACAAGGAATAAACTGGACATATTTAAAGTGTCCTGTTTGTTAAGTTTTACCATCTGTACCCACCTTTGAAACCATCACCACAGTCAAAATAGTTATCATAATGAATTTTAAACAAGGCAAATTTTATAACAAATTACAAAAATGGTCATACAATCACTTCACATAATGTGGAAGTTCAGTCCTCCACTTCCTATCTCCTTATTCCCACAGGTGGGAACTGTTCTGGTTTCTATTAACATTTTTTGTGTGCCTTTATGGAAAGTTTTCTGTGCATATAAGCATCTATCTTTTTTTCTATTTATCTTCTTCCCACAGAAACTGGGACTGCGCTGTGGAAACTGCTTGGCAATAAGTTCTTTACATTTGAGACTCGACCCTTGACTTATTGTTATTTCAGATGTCCGTGCTCTTTTTTTATTGGTTGGGTAGCATTCGGTTTTATGAATGCACTGTGATGGATTGAACTGGGGCCTGAGTCATAAATGAAAACAAAACCCCGGTGCTGGGTTAAGGATGGGGAGTGGTGTCTGGAGCTGTTGTAGCTGGAGGCTTAGACTGTGCAGGCGTCTCCCCTTTCTGGCATGTGCTGATGCAGCTGATGTCCTCAGCTGTTCCTCTGATTCCTTTTCTGTGGCAAAAATGTAGGAATCAGGTAAAACTCTCCTCAAAGAACTTCCTGCCTGGCTGTTTTCCCTAAGCTAGCCCCTTTTCTCTGACGGGGAGTTTAGTTGGTTTTGTAGTAAAAATATGCGTGGTGAACCAAGAAGGAAACAGACAAGACTTTGTCTACAGCTTGTCCTTTCTGACTCAGGGCTCAATCCCCCGGTTTTTGTTATGATCACCCCACTTTGTTACCCATCTTCTACTTGAGTTTGTTAACTCAACATTGACCTGTGTGATTTTTTTTTTTCTTGGAAAGTGGGAGCGGGAGCTATCTGCTGAGCTTGGTGTGGTTGGGAGGGAAGACAAGTTGCGAGTTGAGCCCTGGAAGGGGAGAGAGGTGGGCGGGAGTGGGGCTGCTCACACTGCCGCTGTCTGCAGTTCTGCCTGGGCTGATGCGATTTGGAGTGGCAGCCCTGGCAGGGAGCCCTTCTGCTGCGGGCACCGGGAGGCACTCCCAGGCAGCGTTTCTATTTTTAATGTAATTTGGGAGAGCTGGCTTTTCATTCAGGCCCTGCCCTTCCTCGTCCATCCAGATGGCAGAATTGGCCACAGCTGCAGGGGCTTAGGCTGCCAGTGGAGAGGTGTGGGGGTTGGTGGGCACAGGGATGGGGACGCAGTGGTGCACCAGCCTGGCCGGAACCCCTCCCGGGAAGACGGAGTGAGCTGTCACCCGCCCCACCTTTCCCGTTAACCCTGGTGTCCCGGAACAGACGGGGCTCCTGTCAGTGAGACAGAAGAGCACGGGTCTCAGAATGGGGACTGGCACTGGCAGGGTTTTTTTTTTTTTTTTTCCTTTGTCTTCGGCGGGGAGAGGGAGAGGAGTGTGAGTAGAGGAGCTAACGGTGGCACGCCTTCTGTGAGCCAGGAGTCGGGCTTCATGCACGTGATCTAATTTAATACTCACAGAGGTCCCGTGACCTGCAGTTTACCATCCCATTTTGCAGTGGAGGGGACAAACTCCCAGGGAGAAAATGCTAGAACAAAGGGTTGGTTCCAGGCCAACTACACCACTATACCCCTGTGGCTCCACCTCTGCAGAGAACGTTTGAAGTAATCAAGTATAGTCCTCTTTCCACCAGTTTGCTGAATTTGCCTGTGCGGGTAGGCTTTCAAATGAGTGTTCTTTTGACTGGATGGTGGAGTCCCTGACCACAAAGGGACATTACTGTCTACTGATGGGGCCTGGGTACTTGGTGGGGCTCGGAATGGGGCAGAGGAGCACTTGGCCTTTCCCCCTTTCATCTGAAGAGCACCTGTTTCTCATCAAGCCTCCCTTTGTCCAGGGTCCTTCCCCTTTCATGTACTGGTCTGCTGCCCCCAATTCTGTTACTTCACTTCAGCATCTCCCTATGGCATTGGCACTGGAGGCTTGGGGCCCCTGTGAATTTGGGGTGTTCATGGATGTCTCCAATTTTTCTATAACAGGCAGTGCAAGCTTCTAACAGCAGGAGGCAGGATTTTATTTTCCACCCTGTTCTCCCTTAGCCTCTGGCTTCTGGCTCCGCACACAGTAGCTGTGGTGTGTGACTCATCCTCTAGGCAGCAAGACTGGCACTGGAAGCAGCTGTGAGCCTGGGGGCTTAGCCAGAGCCCCAGGAGGCTTCGTTCTGTGGTGGACAGGCTTTTCCTTCTGTGTCCCAAGTGTCCCCATCCCCTGGAGAGGCACCTGTCATTGCTGCCTCCTAGGTGCGGTTAACAGTCAGGGGATTGAGGGACCTAAATGCAAACCCCTCCACCATCCACCTTCCGTTGCTTCTTGCCAACAGGCCCAGAGATTGGGAAGAGAAGACAAGGATGACAGCCAGTCCAGTCGAAACGAGCGGCAGAGCCAGCAGTCCAAAGGCTTGGAGAGGTACAGTAGTGGGAGGCTGCCCCCAGGGACATACGGCATGGTGTGGATTTGAGCATAATTCCTGGCTGTGGTCTGATGGTTCATTGTGTTCCTGCCGGAAGGCAGGTGATAAGCTGACTGTTACCTTTGTAGAGTCTGGATGTGTGCATTAGCAAAGTCTGATTCTGCACCGAGACAGGAACACGCTGCTGGGTGCATTTGGTGGGACTTTGTGCACGTAGCACCACTGAGAGGGCAGGGCTCTGTCCTCTTCACTGGGTTGCATTAAACTATGTGTGTGCCTGGCCCTAGGTGAGGGCTGGAGGAGCCTGTTGGAGATCTGGGGAGCCATGTTGGAGGGTGGCTAACTCAGAGCCCTGAGCCAGGGCCCTGCTGCATCTGAAATGACTGTGGCTGTAGCTGGGGGGTGGAGGGTGGGGATGGTGTGGTGTGTGACTCCCAGCTTCTCAGGCCTAAGCCCCTAAGAGAGCATCTCCTCTCCAGGAAGGTGAAGGGAGATGGTCATTCCTTCTGGTCCTTGAAAAGCTATCAGCATTCTTCCTTAAAGCTACAACTTCATACATTATCTATAGTCTGACCATTTGAATCTGACTTCTCTTTTATTTCCTATTTTCTGCCCAGTTTTACCATCCCTCCCTGGCCACAGTGCTGGTACACTCTGGGTATGGATATACCTGTGAGGGTGTTCAGCTTTCATTGCTGGCCAAGCAAATGCAGCTCGGAGACCTGGGAAGGCTGTGAGCATGGGGGCTTAGCCAGAGTCCCGGGAGTCCAGGCAAAGAGAGTACTCGGTGGTGGTGCCTTCCTGCCCCGCTGACTACTTTGCCCTTTCTTAGTCTCCATGGGTGCGGGGCTGGCTCTGGGGTCCAGCCTGGGAGGAGGAATGGGCCTTGGAACACACCCTGCACTCCCCAGTTCTCTTTGTGCTCTCCAAATAGAGGTGCCTGACTCTGCTACTCTGCTCTGACCAGGTTATCGCCTCCGCCTCTGCATGGCGAGCGACTCCGGAGTCCCCTTCACAGCCAGACCTCCAAAGAAGGGTCACTGCAGCCCCCTGAAGACCAGGCTGAGCAGAAGGGAGCAGAGGAGCCTGGGGAGGACTCTGGAGGCAGCCCCATCTCACCCGTGATCCTGCGGAGGTAAGGGAAAGGCAGAAGCCTCCTAGGGTGGTGGCGGCCCTGCCCTGAGTGTAGTTGGTGTGTGTGCCAGTACTGAGGGGCAGGGTGTGAGGGTAGGGGCGTGCAGCTGACCTGCAGAGCCAGGGGAGCTGGCTGGGTTTGCAGGCTAGACAGCAGCAACAGAGGTTTTCGTACAGGAGCTAGGAAAGCTGTTGTTTCTTGTCCGCAGGCTACTGCTAAAGTTGGGTACACCGTCTGTTTAGGGTTGTTCAGAAACTTTTGAATGAGGAAGCATCCCTTCTGGCCCAGCTGCTCCCTACCAGGGGCTGGGGCAGGGGTTGCTGTCCCTGCTGGGGCAGTGTGTGTGTCGGGGCGCGTTTCTCCCAATCACCACTCTGCCAGCCCCTCCCTCCCAGTCACCATCCCACCTCATCATTCAGTAAACCCATGTGGAGCCCTGCTGTGTGCAAGGCTCCAGGAAGAGAGGGGTACAGAGCCCGGGTCTCCCAGAGGCCAGCTGAGAGGACCTTTGCCCCCAGCCTGCTCCAGAGCATGGTGTGCTTTTCCTAGTTCTGTTCCCGCTGATAAGAGGGGTGCTGCTGTCAGAGCCCGTCCTGCTGGAATGAATCAATGGGTGAAGCTGAGTGGCAGTGCGTGTTGCCAGCATCCATGGCCCCTGCTGTGTGAAGCGCACCTCCTTGGGTGCCACCACTGTTTCACGTCCCACCGGTGTCGCGGGTCCTGGGCGTAAACAGCCCAGGAAGAGGCGGGGAGGGAAGCGTGCAGTCTAAGATCCGGGGTCAGGCGGCTTTGTAGGCGCTGCCTCCCTTGTCCCCAGCACAGCTCTGACGGCGAATGAGCTTCCTGCCAGCTCTCACACAGTTGCTTCATTGTTGCTGTCAAGGGAGGAGAGCCCAGGCCCACCTGCTGCCCGTGAGAGGGGCGTGGAGCAGCCCTCCCAGGCTGAGGAGCCGGGCCCTGGGCAGGAAGAGGCAGAGGAACCTGAGGAGAAGCCAGAGGTGTAAGGGCCACGTGTCATGTGTGTCTCTGTCCTCCGTGCGCGGGTCTTGCTTTAGTGCCATCCGCTTGGGTGGTGGGAGGGACTGTGCCTGCTCCCGTCCAGGGTGGCGGGTGGGAGAATGAACGTATCCTTAGTTCTCTTGCTGCTGTGAGAGCCCCACACAGCCCTGGTCCCAGATCCTGGTGTGGGGTTGGCTTAGCTCCTGAACAAAACTTGGGGTACGAGGGTGGAGGTGAGGGTGAACCTCCCAGCTCATTAGCAGAAACACGGTATGTCATGTTTTCCCCTGTGTCACGTACAATTTTTTTTCTTAAGGAAAAATTTATTGAGGTATTGATATGCCCGCAATCATACACATCTCAACCACATAGTTCATTCTGTGCAAAATGTCTACACCGTGCACCTACCACTGGCGCAGAGGCAGACCATTTCCATCCCTGAACATTGCCTTGTGCTCCTTCCCTCTCAGTCCACTGGCCCCAGGCCCCGTGCATCTGTTTTCCCAGCTCTCCGCCTCCTTGTCAGGGAAATTGTGCAGTGTACCGTATATTCCTTTGTGCCTGGGCTCAAAGTTCACCTCTGTTGTTGCACCAAGCGCTTCTAGAGTTGAGAAATCATGTAGCTTTTCTCCTCCCATTCCCACCTTCCCCTCCCTCACCCCTTTTCCAGTTAAGGAAACACTCAGAGAGGCAAAGGGATTTGCCCAGGCTCTCGCCTCTAGTCCCTAGAGCCCTTGGCTTCTGACCTTTAGTCTGCAACAGTGATTAGACCACTCTTCCCTCTGAACTGCAGAACAGAAGGATCGAGAGTCCTCAGCACTCACAGGCGTGGCCCTGAGAGCCAGCAGGGCACCTGTACTCACATGACCTGTCATCACCACAGCACTGCAGGGGCGATGTGGGGAGGGATCGCCCCATTTTCCAGGTGGTGATGCACCCTGCAGTGACCTTGAGACATGCTATGGCTTTCCCAAGTCTCCTTGGTGGCTGTGGTCTACCAGATCAGGGTCCTTTCTGCGAGTCCAGTGTGGTTGAGAGGACCTTCTGGGAAGAGGCTCTTCCTGGGGAAGGGAAACTGGGCAGGAAGGCTTCTCCTAGCTGCCTTGGCTGATGAGCCTGCTCCATCCTCAAGCCTGCCCCTTGAGGGTCTCAGAGACACTTCCCTTGATCTCAGAGTTACTGTCTACACGTACCTTAGCAAATGTCTCCTGCTCTTTCCTTAATTTTTACACCCCATAACTTCCTTATTTTTAATCTTTACAGCAAATTGGAAATGAATTGAATTCCTGAGTTTTGTGGGGAGTAACTCTGTGTCTCATTGTACCTGTTAATTTATGGATGTGACTGAGTGACAACAGGGAGAAGTCAATGCCACTGAAGAAAGAATTTATGACTTACATTTTCAGAGAGAAGAGGGCTCACCACACCACACAGGCCCACAATGGGAAGGACCAGAGCTGGTCAGGAGGCAGAAGCAGCAGCAAGAGAGAGCATGGTCCAGAGCCATTGTTGGGATTTTTATGGGAAGGAGTGGGTGAAGCAGGGTAAGTACCCCAAGTGAGTAGGATTGGCTTGTTTGAATATTGTGGTAGACTTTGGGCTGCTCTAGTTGCTGGTACCTGGCCCTGGGCTGCTGAAGGTAGGGGGAAATACTGGCTCGCTGTGGGTCAGATGAGGAAATGGTTGAAAATAAATGGTGACAGGCACACTCCCTTTGCTCTCCTTAGAGATGTGGCTCGTCCTGAGAGGGGCAGTCTTCTCGACCAGCAAGCCTTTTCAGGTCAAAACATCATGAAAAATAGAAAATAGATAACATGACTGTATAGTCTTGTCACCTTTTATAAATGTCAAACTGAATCAGAAGGAATTCTGAGCAAAGGGCAGGCAGGTGACAGTGGGCAGGGCTAGAAGCTGCCACTGCTGTGCTGGGAGGCCCGGTCTGGGAAGCAGGTAACCTCCTCTTTGACATCCCAACATGCTGAAAGCGGGGTCTGGTGCGAGAGGGTAAAGGGACTAAGAGCACCGTGTTGTTGAATGCGGGAGAATACGAGAGCTCTTCCCATCCCAGTTTTAGTGGTGGTACCACCATTTCCCTTCCTTCCGTCCCCCCAACCCCCTCCCTGCCTGTTTCCCCTCCTTGCCTTCCTGCACATGTGCAGTCTCAGAGCTACGAGGTGGCCAGCCTCCTGTTGGCCATGCCCTGGTAGAAACTGGGTCTCCCTGATGCTGACATCTGAGCAGTGACCTCGAAATCAGACCTGCCCCATCCTCTGGAGCCTGCAGCGCCCCAGGCATTTTGCTGCTCTCTTGGGCACGCTGCTGGACTAAGCTGGGCATTTGAAATCCTCGATCTTTAAAATCGGGCTGGGAAGAAGAGGCCCGCTGGAAACCAGCCCCGTTTGCCCGTGTGCCAGGAGCGCGAGCAAACCCGTGGCGCTTGTCCCCTGGGCACACGCTGCCAGGCCGTTTGATGTCCCATCTTTCTGCAGCATCTGTCCCTAGGGCTCCACATAGCTACGCAGCCCACAGGGGAGAAAAACATTAAAAGGTACCATGTCAGGGAAAAAAGATGTTTCAGCCAAGGTTGGAAATGAGTTGGAGGGTTGATGAGGCGGAGAGCTGCGGGGGGAGGCTCTGGGAGGGCAGGATCCTCAGAGGAGGTGGGGAGACTTCTCTCTATCTGCAGCTGTCGGGCTGTGTCAGGGGACTGAGGAAGCTGGGAATTGGAAGGAGGGAGGAAATGGATTTGGGGGAATTTGAAGGCCTAGCTCAAGATTGCTTCTGGTCTGAATTATAATTTTAGGAAAGGGGAAGGAGAGACTCTAATGGAATTTCAGAGACATCGGTAGCCTTTTATGTCTTCCTTCTCTTTTTCTGTGGTCTCATGAGATTAAAATGGAATTCCAAAGCCCTTGCTTTCTTCTGTTGTTCTAATCTGATCCCGCCCACTGCCTTCCATCTGCTGCATTGCCAGCTCTGGAGCGAGAAGGGGGTTCTGCACCCCCAGAAGGGGTTGGGAACCTCTGTGGGACTCTTGCCCCAGCCCTCCTTAATTTGGGTGGTGCCCACATGTTACTCCTGAGGTCGACTGGGCAGTCGTGCCAGGCCTGCAGCAACCTGGCACCAGGGAGAAGACTGGTGGTTGTGTGGCAAGACCAGTTTCTAATAGGCGACTCTGGGAACCTGGCAATGCAAAGTGGCCTTTAGGAAAACCACTCTGGAGGGGAAATACCTCATCCTGCTTATGCTTTCATTGCTCACAATGTTTTTGGCTTTCCTGTTTGGGTATTTCCTTCAAGAACCAGAATACAAGCAGCATAACAACCTTAAGTACTTTACAGCCTTTTCTTACCACCCACCTTATACATCCAGGTTAGCTCTGAATTTCTCTCAGCCATTTCCAAACATTGAAGTTACTCTCAACAGATGAAAATGTGGCCTCCACAGGGAGCTGTGGATCATGGCATTCCTGTTGTCCTCAGGTACTCTCTGTGGCTAAGGGAGGGGTCTCCTGCCTGGCACCTGGTCCCCATGGACTGTTCTAGGTCTCAATGCTAGGGGACATGCTGCTTCTCCCACTGGCTCAAAGGCATTGGCCCTTTTTCAATTAGGAGCACAGAGAACCTCTGAGAACTTCCCAAACTGCTGGCTGGAGCCCCTAGCAGGGAGAGTCCTGTGGGGAGATGAAAACAGGGCCATGAGCCATTGTAAAGGAACCATCAGGGACAGAGCTTTGTTCTCCCCCTGCTTTTGAGCCACAGCTTCAGGTTCTCACCTCGTTCCCCAATTTTCCAGGTCCCCTGAATGCCTGCCATGGGCTGCCCTTCTCCCTGGGTCCTTGAGGCCTCCCATAGCCACAGAGGGGCTTTTCCTAGACAACAGATGCTGCCTGTGTCTTTGAGAGGGGCAGCCTTACTGCCCATCCTTGGGTGACTCAGTTTGCATGTGTGATTCCTGATCATGGCCCTCCATGCGGGTGCCATAGGTGATGTTCTGTCTGTCTAAACCCCGATGCCAGAAGGTGGATGGGCATTAAATGTAGTGAAATTCTATTTCCCTCCCTCAACAGGAGACTTTCAGAGCCTGCAGCTCCCCCAACACAGCTCTCAGAGACCTCCCTGCAGACCACAGAAGCAGCAGCAGCTCAAGAACTTGAGCAAGACCAGAGGTGGCTCCTGGAGTCGAAGCAGGAGAATATGCAGCGACTGCGGGAGAGGCTGTGGCAGGAGGAGGAGGAGGAGGAGGAAGAGGAGGAGGAGATAGAGATACCCCAGTTTCACCAGCAGAAAAAGTCTTTCAGGTACTGCCCTCCCCTTCAGCAGGCTCCTGGGCCTCTCTGTGGCCTGGGGAGCAAGATGCCCACTTCCTGCTGTGGGTGCCCGTCGTCCTGCCAAGACCATTCCTTGGTGGCCTGCGCAACGGACTCCCTGGCCAAAGCTCCCTCTTGGGAGGGAAGGGAGTTGGGAGACATGATAATAGGGGAAGTAGCTGATGTTTTCTGAGAGATTACATTGATCCATGTGATTTATATAAACTATATATATATGTATATACATATATTTGTTTAATTCTCAAAACAGCTCTTATGAGGAGTTACCAATCCTATTTTATTGAGTCTGATCAAGATGAGCAGCTGAGTCCCAGAAAGGTTAAATAACTTGTCTGAGGTGTTGGAGCTAATAAGCAGCAGAGCCTAGGCCAAGCCAGGCAGTTCATCTCTTCACTGCTACATCTTCCTCCCTTGGAGTCAGCCCTCTGGGGACCCAGTGAGGTTGGTAGGGACTACGTGTGAGGGGCTCTTATCTCAGAGCCAGACAGTTTCCTTTGGCTGATAGGAGAACCCAGATAAGACCTTTAAACCTGGGCAGAGCCTGTGCCTGTGTGGCTGTATGTTTGTATGTGTAAACCAGTGGGAGGCTCATATAAGAAAAGGCAGTCCAGGGCTGGTATAGTGGCTCCAGAGTCACCTGGTCCCAGGTGTCCTTTAATCTCTGCCATCTTCAGTACTGGTTTTTACTCCCAGTATCTCTTCAAAGTCCATTGTAGCTGCTGGTCTCCAACCATTGTATCTGTGCTCCAGGATAAATAGGAATAGAGTACAAAAGGGGCCACCTTCTGGCTCATTCTGTCCCTGTAAAGGAGCTTGCCAAGGACCTTTGCCTGAGGACTTCTGCTCATGTGTCATTAGTATCCCCTAGTTTTATTTTTTTTTTATTATTTTTTTTTTATAGAGGCATGTTTTATTTTATTTATTTATTTGTTTGTTTGTACAAGCACTGGGTACAGTCAGAAGCGCGGGAGGGTGAGAGAATTCACCAGAGCCAGAGCGGGGAGCAGAGCAGGCAGAAGGACCGAAGTACACTGCTGAGGGGAGCAGCGGGCGGCAGGAGAGGTCTGCACGCCATGTGGGACCCTCCTCCGGTGGCCGGGGAGCAGCCGGGGATCGAACCGGCGCCGCAGAAGCTGCGGGCAGCTTCGCAACCCAGCGCTCAACCGCTGCGCCACCTGGGAGGCCCAGTATCCCCTAGTTTTAAAGGAGACTGGGAAATGTAGTGCTTTACTTGGGCTTCTTTACCTGATAGAATGAAATTAGGGAACTATTAGTGAGGAAACTGGATATTGAGAATGTAATGAGCATCCCTGGCACTGTCCTGCAATGGGAAAGGGACTTACAGAAATGTATTTAATGTATTGGATTTACTTGGCAATTTGACTAAAGGCTAAATTTTGTCCTCTTGGAAAAAACATCCGAGAGAGATAGAAAATTATCCTTCTGTCATGCATAGCAAACAAAGAATGTATAAAATATTTATGCTTAATGTAGAGGAAATAAAACCAACACCCAACTATCCAGAAGATGAGGGGTATTCTCTCTCATTAGCCCGATTAGGACCCACGGACCTGGGGTCTATCCTTAAATCACTCTTTCTGGACCTCCTGCCAGGAGGATGCCACAAACAGATCTCCCTACCACATCCTCCTCTTCCAGCCAACTGAAACTTGGGGCAGGGCCCACCCAACAGGTATGAATCAGCCCAGGTGGGGAGCGATGCCGAAGAGAAACTCCTGGTGGTGTTTCCTTCCAGCCCAGCAGGCTTGTCTCTGCCGGCCACCCTGGGCTTGGCTGACTGTGTGCACCATTCTTCCTCCAAATCACCTAGGTCCAGAAAAACCTTCCAGTGTCCCTCTTAGGATGAGGGTGAGACCCCATGCCAATGTGTCTCATTCAGGGCCTGCATAGTTGCTCAGTAAATGGCAGCTTTTGTTCTTGTGTTCAGTTGAATTCAGTGGAGCTTCAGCAGTCCTGAGTGATTTCTCTGGATAGTGCTTGCCTGATTCTTCAAGATAGTGCATCGTGAGAATGCTGTTTCTGTTTACATAGGTGCCCTTTTGAGGGTTGGGCTTATTTTCTGGGAAACTTCCACTTGGTAGAAATTTCTGGAAGCCAGAGCTGAACTGATCTTTTAGCATGTATTTTTTGAATGAGAAGGCAGGCAAGAGGAGAGGCAGGCTGACTCTTAGTTCCTTTAGTTGTATAATGAAAGGATTGAGTGTAGTGAGATGAAGAGAGAGCTATAAAATGAAGGACATGTCCTTTTCTAAAGTCCCTTCCAGCTTTTGGCATTTGGTGGTACTAGGTGTAAAATTCAGCCATAGGACAAAGAGAAAGGGTTTATGGGGAATCTAGAAGGAAGGATTTGTGCTGATCTCATTTTCTGTCATAATGGAAGAGAGTAGTGGTGCTGATAACTTGAAATAGAAAATGATCCTAAGTCTTTTTTGGATTTGGAATTCACTAGAGGAGCTTTTCCAAGAAATTGTCATCTGAATCATGTTTTCTGAGGCTTGAGTTTCTCGAGTACACAGCCCTGGGTCATGTGGGGCTTTGCGAGAAGACTGTGGTTTGCACAAGTAGGAGATGTCCCTTTGGTATGAAATGGTTGCCACTGTAGGTGTGTAAATAAGACGTCCTTACCAATAATCACACTTGCTTAGAGTTGGGGGCAGGGTGATGCATGTTCATTCAGCAAGCATTTGTTAAGCCTCTATTTCATGTTAGTTACTGTCTCCAGCACCTAAGATATAACATATTTTAAGACAAGATTCTTTCTCTGGAGAGGATTAATGATGCATTATGAGGGATGGTGGCGGGGGATAAGAATCCCTATATAGTGTGATGGGAACAGAAAGACTGATGAACTTGGAGTTGGGAAGACCTCTCTGAGGGGAGGAAGCTGGGTGAAGATTGGGTGTGGGTTTTGGCTGGTAGAAAGGGGAGTTCTCGGTAGGGGTCCCAGCATGAACAAGTTGGCAAATTCAGGAAGAGTGTGGTGGGACTTAGAGTTGGCTCACTCGATGTGGCTAGAACAGAATCTGTTGGGCGAAAAGTGGAAGGATTTTAGCAAGTCAGGTGAGGGTCAAACCATCTATCCTTGAGTGAATGCCATATCCAGGCAAACCTGTTGGCAGAAGGCAGCCTTTGGAAGAAATGCTGTTCTGGGATCAGGCAGCCTGTAATTTGCTTCCTGTGGTAAAGGGCAGTTGGTGTTCACGGTGCCCTCTTTACCCAGGGAAGTATTACAGGGAGGCAGCAGGCCCCAGAGGCTGAGGCTAGACTTGTCTTTAAATATCGGAAGCTTCTCAGGCAGGCTACGGGCTATTGGAGGCTGAGAGCCAGGGATTATGGATAGAAGATGGAGGATCTTGTGGTCCCTCTAATAAGACTCACCACAACAACCTAGTTCCCTGAAGGAGCAGCTGCAAAAAGGCGCTGAGACAGAGGAGACACGGATGAGAGAGAAAGAAAGCCAGAGGATCTCCTGGCTCCGGGCCCAGGTCCAGTCCAGCACAGAAGCTGGTGAAGGCCCAGTCAGGTGAGTGCCCACTTTGAGCTGCCCAGGCCTGCACAAGTGCCCAGAGTGCATAGGCCTGAGTGCCCTTTCTGTCTGCCCAGGGCCGAGCAAGAGGCTTCTCTGCAGAGACTGAGAAAAGAGCTGGAATTTCTACAGAAGGCTGAGGGGGTCAGCTTGGAACAGACAAACTGGCAAATGCTAGAGCATCTCAGGGAAGATGTGGAGGCCTCGGAGAAGAACGAGCAGACTGCCCTGAGTGCTGACAAGGAGAAGGCTTTGCAGCAGCTGAGAGAGCAGCTGGACGGGGAGAGGAAGGAAGTGAGCCCGTGGAGTGGGTCCTCCCTCTCTGCTCTGTGCCTGGGCTTCCAGGGCAGGGGCTGAGTGTGAAGGAAGAGGGAGGGCCAGCCTTGGGCCTGCAGGATGGGGAGCCAGGAAGACAGAGGGTGTCCGCACGGGTGGGCATGGGGGATGGTGGGCCTGTTAGTCTGTTTGGACCTGATTGTCTCAGGTGCCAGCCTGTCTCCCTGATACGGATCTAGGGGTCCTTCCAGGGCTGGGTCAGGACAGCAGCAGCTGGGTACTGTCAGTGGCAGTGAAGGCTTATGGGAAAATGGCCTGTGGATTTGGGGAGATTTCATGACTGGAAAACTGAAAGGCAGACCAGGGGTCCTGATACCAGGGCGCCCTGTCCCTGTGGGGCAGCCGTGATTACCTTTCTCCTGTCTGAGAATGAGGTTAGCACACTTGGAGCAATTCCTTCTCCTTTTGTCTTTGTTCCTTGTCCTGCCAATCCCATGGTCTTTCTCCCAGTAAGAGGCTGCAGTAAGTAGCCATCAGGCTATGAGAAACTGCTTTCTTTTGATGAAGGGTGGAGCTTCAGCTCTTGGGCAAGGAGAAGCTGTAGCGAGGTCGGGGAGTGCTTCTCTGAACTCAGGAAGCGCGTGTTAGAGCCCCAGCTCTCCTGCTTGGGCCCTATGCACAGGCATGCATGTCGCCTGTGTACCTCTGATTTGGCTGGGGGAGGGGGGCATGGCAGCAGTGCCCCTCCGCTCTGGCCTCCCTGTTTCTCTTCATTTGTCACTTGCAGACTTTAGGGGCTGAGTTTGGAGAGACGAAGTTGTGCTTGTGGTTTCCCTTGTGGCTCCAGGGGATGGGAGATGGTCTCCCTGGCTCTTCCTTCCCCCAGGCTAGGTGCCCGCCAGCCTTCCCTGCCCTGCACCCCTCACAGGTTCTCTGGTGCCCTCTAGGCAGTGGCAGCGCTGAAGAGAGAGCACCAAGCTGAGCTGGAGCGGCTCTCTTCCTCCTTGGAAGCCAAGCACAGAGAGGTGAGCTGCAACTGCCCTGGCCTTTGAGGCAGGGCCTGGGTATCCTGAGCATAAGCTTGAGCTTCAGGACCCATTCACTGCTGTCTGCAGGCAGAAGAGCTTGACCTCCTCCCTGCTGCTGGGGAGGGAGTCTTCCTTTCCCACAGGCCCGTGGGGTTGGGAAGTGACTCTCCTGTGACCACTGCAGTGCTCTCTTAGGGTCACGCTTGTGTGTGTTGGGCCTCCTCAGGTGGTCTCTGGCCTCCAGAAGAAGATAGAGGACGTGCAACAGAAAGAGGAGGCCAAGCTGCAGGTGAACCTTGGATGGGCGGAGCAGAGAGCTCATCAGAAAGTTCACCAAATGATGGAGTACGAGCGAGAGGTGAGTCTGGGCTGCCCCTTGGGTGTCCTGTGTCTATAATGTCTGCTGTGACTCAGCTGGGCCACCTTGCCCCACGGGTCCTCCACTTTGCTTTAGATGGCTCAGCTGGGGCTAGAGCTTCGGGTTCCATTTATTATGCCTCACCTCCCTCTAGGCCAGGTCTTTCTCCATCCTCATGCTCTGTAGGTACGTGGGAGGGGGTGTTGGGATATGTCATGTATGCGGATGTGTGTGGTGTGTTGTGTATGTCCTGGCCCGTGTGTGGATGCTGTGTGCATGGGGGTGGTGGTGGGAGGTGTGTGCATGTAGCATGAGTGTGATCAGCTCCGCCTCCTCCCCACCCATCCCCGTGCCCGTCCGCCCTGGATCCTACATGCTGCATCCCTGTCAACCGCCTTGCAGCTCAGTGGCCTCCTGAGAGAGAAGCGCCAGGAGGTAGAAAGGGAGCACGAGAGGAAGATGGACAGGATGAAGGCGGAGCACCAGCAGGTGGTGACTGACACCAGGGAGCAGTATGAAGCCGAGGTGACTTGCCCCGTCATCTTATACTCACTCGTTAGCTCGCTGGAGGGCAGGGGGAGGGGACAGACTGATCAGGGGTTCAGTTATCTCTGGCCCCCTGCAATGTGAAGTCAGTCTTTGCCTTTGCACTAAGGGGTCGGCTGAGGAGAGGCTTCGTCACTCCAGCAGGCAGGCCACACCTTCCTGTCATGGTCATTACGGCTCACACAGAGCTCGTGCGGTGTGCCAGGCCCTGCCCTGAGCCTTGGTATACATTCACTCACTTCCTCACAGCACGCTGCAGGGTGCAGCTCCACTTTCAAAATGAGGACACAGTCTCGGAGAGTACAGGCTGCTCCCTAGCTCACCCGGTTAATAAGCAGAGGACCAGGATTCAAGTGCGGGCTGACTCCAAAGCCTTTAATTCTAACCCCACCAACACCTGCCACTAGGGGTAATGGGAGTTCCCGGACACCAAGAAACAGAGTGGCAAGAGCAAACAATATCAAGACCCTACATGCCCACCCCCAGCCTTTTGCAGTAGCCTCAGTGACCCATGGTGGCTTCACTTGCCTGGATTGGGGGTGTACAGTGGGGTGCTGGCTGACTTGAACCTACAACCGCTGGCACCCACATCTCAGACTATACCATCTTTCTTTGATGAAGTGTAGTTGACTTCCTACCCAAACCAATTCTGGCCATGCTGAAGAATAGTGAGAATTAATAATGACTTCTCCCTCGAGGAAGGAAAGCTGCATATGATGGGGCGGCAGAAGAGGGCAGGCTCCATGGGGGGAGCTCCTCATGGCATCAGACCAGTGTCTGTTTCAGTGACAGAGAGGGGGTGCAGGCTATGGGGGCAACAGACCGTGCTATCCCTTTATGTCCACTAGTCTTAGCTTATTGACCCAAGCTGCAGGGGTGGAGTTGTTGTAGCTTCCTGCCAGTGTACCCCTTTTCCCCCTCCCAGGAGAGGAAGCAGCGAGCTGAACTCCTGGGGCATCTGACTGGAGAGCTGGAGCGCCTACGCAGGGCCCATGAGAGGGAACTGGAGACCCTGAGGCAGGATCAGGACAGACAGCTGGAAGACTTGCGGCGGCGGCACCGGGAGCAGGTGGGGGCTGTGGGACGTCACTTGGGGCTCCCCACCCTGATACCTCCACGCAGGATAGTGCAGTGCTGGGAGCAGGACCTGTGGCAGCATCCAGATGGAGCCTGATAGCCTTTGAAGTGGGGGACTCACGGGCCTTCTCCAAGCTGGGGCATCTTTGCTCCTGTGTGTTTTGGAACAAGAAACATCCCCAGATTAGAAGGGTCAGCCCCTCTAGGGTGCTGGGGTTGGTGCCTTTGTCTATCCTTGCTTCCACTGGAAATAAGCAAGATCTGATGGCCAGGGATGCTGCAGGAGCAGGTGGGGGGAGGCCTGAACCCAGCTCTGAGTTCTGGCATGGTAGGGTGGACCAGAGCCTCCTTCCTGCTTTCTCAGGTAATGGCCTTCCTACACTTGTATCTTTTTTCTCCACCTACACTTCTGGGCAGGAAAGGAAATTCCAAGATTTAGAAATGGACCTTGAAACCAGAACCAAAGATGTCAAGGCCAAATTATGTCAGCTGGACATCCAGGTGAGGGAGCCAGGATCTCCGGATGCCTTTGAGCTGTAGCCCCTCCAGGAGAGGGCATGCCTTCCCACCTCTCAGACTTGGAGCTGGCTGAAGGGCACTTCTTCCTTCCCCCGCAGGAGGAGACTGCCTGGAAGCAGCAGCAGCTCCTCCGCGCGCAGAGGCGGGCTGTGCTGGAGAGTGAGGTCTGTCTGCTACTCCTCCTGTCTTTCCCTATCCCCTTTCCTTCCTTTCAGCGCCACCTTTGTCCACATGATCGCTCTAGGGTTTTGGGGTCCCAAACCTCGTTGGCCGTTATTCTACAAAACGCCCCTCTGTGGACCTCACCCGGGAGCCGGAGGGCTGGGGTGGGGCCCATGCATCTCATGACCAAAGCCCCTTTCCTCCTCTATCCCACATGTCACCAAGGGATTCTGTCTTTTCTTCCACGCCCCCTCCCCCCCAGGAAGCCACCACCACCCAGCAGCATCTGGAGGAAGCAAAGAAGGAGCACAATCACCTGCTCGAGTCAAACCGGCAGCTCCGAAAAATTCTTGAAGAGCTTCAGGCCCGCAAGTTTGAGTTGGAAACCCAGGTGGATCTGCTGGAGACCCAGAGTCAGAGGCTGCAAAAGCACATCAGGTTGTGTGGGCACCTGTGCTTCATACCCCATGCCTCTTGCCTACCCTTTGCCCGCTGCTGTGCATGGGCCTATCATGGCTGTGACTGTTGCATGTTGTAGCGGGGGTTGAGGCCGGGGGTCCCTAGTTTGACCCTTCATACCCCAGCCCTGTCTCAGGGACATTGATGGGAGTGAAGGGGCAGAGATGGTCCTGCTCTCCCCCTAAGGTTGGGGCTGGAAGCTCACCCCAGGAGTCCCACAGAAACCTTGTCTGCTTCATGTGGCTCTGCCTCCTTACTCATCTTAGCAACCTGGAGGCTGCAGCTAAGAGGAATCAGGACACCTTGAAGGAGCTGGCAGTCGAGGAGAGTAATGCAGCCTCACATTTTGAGCCAGGTCTCCGCATTGAGGACCTGAGGAAATCCCTTGGGACGGTGAGTATCTCTATGCCTTGAAAGGGATAGGGCAGCAGGGCTGGTCACCTGGAGAGCTCCTGCTGAGAAGGAGTGAGGCCTGCCTCTGCCCTATGCAGGACCATCGCCTCCTGGTCTTAGGCCCAGTGTCCATCTCCATCAGTTAAGTGATACCTATGAGTGATCAGTGCCCAGCAACTGGCAGAGCCACTTGTCTGTACGCCACTGGGAGGGCTTCAGAGCCCCTTGAGCCTGCAGTTACCTGCTTTTGTTGCATTCAGTGGGTCTTTTCTACCATGTCCTTAGAACCAGACGAAAGAGGTATCCTGCCCTCTTTCCCAGAGCAAGGAGGAGTTCAACTTGTCCATGGACGGGTGAGTTCCAACAGCCTGTCATCTTTTGGTTCAGTATACTATGCAGGGGTTAGTGTGCCTGCAGCACAGAGCTGGGGTGAGCTGAAGTGACAGTGTTACTAGTGGGGCTTGGTTCAGGGACAGGCCTCCTGGGGGACAGAGGAATCTTCCCTGGCAATCCAGGACTGCCCACTGTGACTGTCAGCCAGAGGTAGGCAGAAGCCAGCACACTGTGTTGCTGATGGAATGTCTGGCCATCTGTCCCCATCAGGTGTGAAATCTGTGAGTGAGGGTGGGAGGGCCCAGTGCCAGCCTGCTCTCAGGACTGGCATCTGCTGCGGGAGTGGTTGAGTGGCCCAGAACAGGGGTTCTCAGTGTTTTTGTCTTCCTTCAGTGCTCCTACCCTCGCTTGTCCTCCCAGTGTTCGAGACTTCTCTGCTGATGGGATGGTGCTCCGTAATGCCAAGGATTTCCTGATGCGGCAGACCCCCTCCATACGGAGGCGGCAGACAGCTCTGAAGGTTGCCCAGCAGCAGTGGCGCCATGAGGGGGACAGCAATGCAGCAGGTGCCAAGGCCCTGGAAGACATGTGCAAGGACCTGGAGGTCAGGAGCTGGAGACAGCCTTCCGAGCGAGGGGCTGGGGATGCCATGGCAAAACTCACCTTTGGTTGGTCATTCTGGAGGCTCCATGAGAATAGTGGTCCCATGGGTTCCGGGGTCACTGGATAAGTCTTCTGTGATGACCTGACAGGTGATGTGGCTTATACAGCTCTGTGAAGATGAAAGCACCTTATGTTGACATTGGCAATGCACCGTGCACAATGCTTCTGCCTGTCATATACAGGATAGTAGCCAGTGAGGTTTTTAAGACTTTACTTTTCTAAACTCTATAGTTCCACATTTCAGCAATCTTTGAGCATACGCAGCATAAGACTGAGTTATGTCTGATACCCCAGTTTACAATGACAGTACAGACCCACGGTGCGGTTACCTGGGATCATGGATCTTTGTGCCATTTGAAGGTCCTGGTCCCTTGAATTCTGACAGTGCTCAGGGCGGGTGTAGATGGAGGACAGGCTTCCAGGGGCCTGTCCTGCTGCTTCCCTCATAGCGATGGTGGCGGTGATGAGAGTGACTATTTGAGGGTGGTAAAGGTGCTAACCTTGTAACAATTCAATTTTCATGACCCGATGGAGAGTGGTGCTTCTCTTGTTTTAGATGAGAACCCAGACTGAGAGTTGATTTTTTTCAGGACAACCCAGTGTCAGAGCCGGACTCCGGCATCCTGTGGTTAGTCACCCCTTTCTTCTCCCTGGCTGCAGGAGGCCAGGCACCTGCATGAGATGAAGTCAGCCATGCAGAAAGGCCAGGACCTGCTGAAGAAGAAAGAGGAGAAAATCAGTCAGCTGGAGTCCTCTCTCCAGGAAGAGGTACAGCTCTGCGGCCTCCCTGTTCTCCTGGGATTGGGTTGTGTTCTTGGGTCCTGCGCTGGGGAGCTGGGCCTCTAGGGTCCAGGGTTGGCAGAGGGCTCCTGGACTGGTAAGAGAGGCAGAAGCTTTAAGTTTGTGGACACATCTGTGGGTTTGCAGATCTGTGCTGCACTGTCCTGAGCTCGCTGAAGGTTCGGAGAGTGGGGCCAGCCCCTGCCTGGCCCCTCTGGAGAGGGGTGTCACGAACGTCAGAGTAGGCTTCCCCATGAACTCCTGAGATGTGGGTGTGGCTAGATCTTCAGGGAGAGTTTAGTGGGGGAAAAGGGCACCTGTCTGGTCTGGGTGGCCCTACAGCCCGAATTCTCCTAGTTGCCCCCTCCTCCACTCCAAGGCAGCCTGCATGATGTGCCTCTCCCAGGTGCTTATGGAACTTTGGACCCCAAAGAACCTACCCATTGTGTCCAGGACAGAAAGCACAGAGTGAGTGCTAGAAATAACTGCTGCTTCTATTTCTCAGGCTTCAGATGAGGACACGCTGAGAGGAACCCCCACCAAGAAGGTGACCTTTGACCTCAGCAACCTGGATGACTCAGATAGTGAAAGTTCTGAGTCCTTCCCGCTGCCTCAGGGTGAGTCGGGGAGACCCACAGTATCCCTGGAGAGAGGGGGAGGAACTTGGGGGAGCTATTCTGGGAGCCAGTACTCTAGAAGTGCTTGGGAAGGAGTGAACCCAGCTGGTTTGCCCCCAGACAAGGCTGTCAGGATGGGGGAGAGCTGTCTGAGCGTGCAGAGCACTTTGCGGTGAAAGAGGTGTCCCCCTTAACCGTGCCACTCTCCGGGAGGCTGCTCTGCCCTGCACAGGGCCCTCCCCTCACCCTGGAAAACCTCTCTCAGCCAGCTCCTGTCTGTACACCAAGCCCCACTGTCTCCTGTGCCCCCATAAGACCCATGGGTTGTCTGGAGGAATGGGGTGTGACAGTGCCAGCTGGGCCTGGGGACCATCCCACCCTCTGCCTCTTCCCTTTCAGTCACATCAACCCCGAGTTTCTCCTGCCCCAACAACATCCACTACTTGAGTAGCTCCTTGCAGCGGATCAGCAGCCAGCTCAACGGTGTCCTCAGCATGCTGGGCAGCATCACCCCTCAGCCGCCGCTCTTCAGCACCACACCTGTGCAGGTCCCTCACCAGTCCTCCAGGAGCACGCCCATTCCCACCTACACACCCCCATCCCCTGCTGCATCCATGTCCACCCAGTGGGCCTGGGACCCAGGGCTGGGCCCCAGGCTCCCTTCCTCTGCCGTGGCTCAAACAGTGGATGACTACCTGGCGGAGAAGTGGCACAAGTACTTTCCAAGTAAGCCTCCCTCTGGGCTAAACCTTCCCACCTTCCTCCTTGCCCCCCAACTTAGCATGGTCCGTGGATTGTTTCCCTGGGAAGAGCTTGCAGCTCTGTGGGTCCTGATGGTTACCCTGGAACTTGGGCTGATGGGGTCTATAGTGGGTTTTAGGGCTCAGCAGAACCTAAAATGTCGATGTCATCATTATGATAGTGCCATTATATACTACGGGCCAGGCATTTTATATTCAGTTTTAGCACTAATAACCTTCTTGGTAGTATTTATCCCCCCTGTTAGCTGAGGAAAATGAGACTTGGGCATTAAGTGATGAGTTCCATGTTACTCCAGGATTTTGCATCTAAGAGCATGGGCAAATGACTTCCCCTGTCTCCTAACCCAGCTAAGGAATATGAAGAGGTACTTGAGGGAAAAAGTTGTATTCTCCCTAGTCCAAGCCAAATTGAAAATTCTATCTAAAATCTGTATCCTCCAGCCACTGAAATGTGCCCTGTTCATTTTAGGAGGTACTGCCTTTTCAGATTCTGGGGAAGAGGTGGTCTGCCTGGGCCAGGTCTGGGTCAGCTGAAAAGCTGCCATTTCGAAACCATTTTCTCCCACTTTCCCAGCTGGAGTGCCATTCCTCAGCAGCGGCCTTTCGCCCCTGGAGAACAAGCTGGGTTATGTGTCTGCCAGGTAAGCCCCCCTGTGGCTTTCAACTGGGACCTCTGAAGGTTGTGGAACTCCCAGGCAGGAGACCCAAATACATGGGGTGGATACCCCTCAACCAGAGAAAAGTCCAAAGTGCCAAAGTCCTGGGGTGAAGGGGCTTACCTGGCCAGGCTCCAGATGGAAGCTGCTCTCTGGGACTCTGCACACTCTCCCGGAGTGTGGCCTTGCTCTTTGTCTACTTCATAAAACTCCCTTTCTCCCTAGGCCTGCTGAGCAACATCTGGAGTGCGAGGGGTGCCCTGGGGGAGAGACAGATGGGCAGTTATTTAAACCTGTTATTAATTTCTCATTCATCTTAGTCCTTGCCAGATGTATCCCCTGCAACAACCCCCCAGGATAGGTACTCCCCCCACAACCTGGCCCATTTGGGAGCTGATGCTGGGCAGGTATTTGAGTTGACAGAGGAGAGAGCTTTTGCTGATGAAACAGGCTGGGAATTGGGAGCCTTAATGTCAGGAGCTTTCACCCAGAAGTGGGCAGAGGGCATTCACCACCTTCCCTTTTGGGAGCTGATATCATTCCATAGGGGTGGCTTCTGCCCATAGAGGAAGCTTTGAATTGCTAAAGAGACCCTGAAAGACCCGCAGAGGAAGAAGGAGGTGGCAGGTGTGATGGCTCCACCGCATGTGCCTCTTCCTCACCTCGAGCTGTCCTCCTCTTCCCAGTGAACAGCTCCACCTCTTGCAGCGCCCTCAAGTTCCTGAGATAGGCAGCACTGACTTCCAGAGCATGATGGAGGCAAATCGGAAGTGGCTAGAGCAGTACAAGAACGGCCCCAAGTCGTATCCTTTCAGCCAAGTCCCAAACCCCAGCCCTTTCCTGCTGTAGCTACCGGCGTGGCTGGACTTGTGTTTGTACCTTGGGGGACGGAGAGAGACCCCATTTGGCTCTTCCCATGGTTTCTCTCCGGGGCCAGAAGCCATCAGCGTTTTCCTTCACCTCGTGCCCAGACATCTCTCCTCGGTGCCCATGGCCACTTCTGGCCTGCTGCAGCTGGGCCTGGATCAGCACAACAGGCTGAAGGTGTATCGCTATTGAGGCGCTGCGCTGGGCGTACCTGGACCAAGTGCCTGAAGAGCTGATAAAGCACTCCCCTGTGCCCTCTGCCCTGCTCAGAACTTGGAGGAACCTTGGTGGGGGCGGGTGGAAGGATGGTACAACGCAGTGCCCACATGATGGACCTGTGACCCTCTGCGAGCCCCTGCCTGGATGCCCAACACTGGTGCGGGGCCTGTAGAACAAAGGGTGCAATCAGGAGTTGCCTTCAAAAGCCAAGGGACTGTTGGGACCCACGGGGCACTGCTTGGGGCTCCCACAAAGATTCTGTGTCTGGTCCTTAAAGCCCCCTAGCCTGTCTGTACCCTGGGGCCAGGCTCTGCTCTCCAATACCTCAGCCTCCCGGGGATCAGATCTTTTTTCCTTATTTTTATGTGCCCTTCTCGGGCACTCCCGTCTCCGTTCAGCTCTCTCAGGATTGGGCTCAGCTGCCTGGAGGTTGCTGGGCCACCTGTCTACCTGCTTCTGGCCAGGCTGTCCTCAGGAGCCCTTCCTTCCTGCGGTTCCTCCCCAGAGCCACCCCGGCTAGATTCTCAGGTCTCAAGCATACAATTTTCCCAGAAGTCAACAACCACAGGAAAAGAGTGGGATGGCTCTGGCCCCAGAGAGAAACCATGGCTGTACTCCTGGGCCTGTGCCAGCATTGTTGGCTGTGAGGGATCTTGTGCCACAGCCCCCTGCAGCGCCCCTTCCCCTTGGCAGGCTCCTCAGGGCATCACAGCGGATGTTCTGACATCTGTCTCATTGTTGAATAAAATGCTTCCATTTTTCTGGAAAGCTGGCGGTTGCCCTTGCCTCCCTAAACTCTCCTCCTCCATTTCTTTGTTACAGAATAAGAAATGAAGACCCAGTTAGCTCTTTCACACCTGCCCAACCCAAAACTTTTTATGCATTAGCCTGCCACCATGTAGAAAGTCCATTTTGTTATCTGGCTGGTTCTATGTGCTTTGGGATTAGCTTGTGTGTTCCCACCAACTCTGGTGACAAGCCTGTGTTTTCTTCATCAGTTAAACCTCTACGGGTCCATTTTCTACAAGGTGGCTGTGTGAATGTGTGTCCTCTTTGAAGACCTTTACCGCCTCCCTCTTAAGAATAGAGCAAGCCTTACCTGGCAGGGAGCGCCCGTGATCACACAGCTGATTTTCCCAGGGTGAGGCTTATCCATTATACCCGATGTGCTGGCTCTAGTGATTTCCCCCAAAGGCGGGAAACAGACTACATATTTTGTGGTAGTGGGGAACTGTCTTCATTTGCACTTGAAAATGGGAAAAACAGAGGAAGAAAAAAATTATTTATGGGACACCTAGGTGTCTAGTCATTACAGGAAATCTAGCTCCATTTCTATGGATGACAAAACCAAGACTTAGAGACCATGAAGTGCCTGGAGAAAGGAGCTGAGCCTCCTGCAAGGGCAAAGCCCTCACATCCCCTCTCTGTATCTCCAGAGCTTCCTGTCCCCCTCTGACAGCTCTAGGAAGTGCTGACTTTGTCTCTCCCTTTGCCCCCTCCCAACTCTGCTGCCTACCAGCTGTCTCCCCTCTCCCGCCTGCAGACAAATGAAAGCTAAGCCCCAGAAGTCCTAAGCTGGCAAAGTTTGGTGGATATTTTTTTTCTGCTCCAGTGGTGTGAGCAGCCTACAAACAGTTCTGGATTTGTAGCAACAAGATTGCTCAAGAAACAACTGAGATGGCCTGTTTCATGGATTTGCATAAAAAAAAAATGGAGACAAAATGTACACACTAACACAGACTTCTGTGATCCAGCGGCCTTGGTGCTTGGCGGCAGGGAGGGAGCCAGCTAACATTTGTCAAATACCTTCAGTGTGCAAGGTGACTGTGTCCTCATATAATCCTTTTAACCTGTGAAGTTGGTATTTTACGGATCAGGGAATTTAGGCTCAGAGGTTATATGACTACAGCTCAAGGTCACCTTGGACTTCAGCCTGGATTCACGTGTCTCTGAATGTTAAGTTCTGTGGGCTCCACTCCCCCCGCCCCCCACTCCCATCAGCATCTGCAGTCACCCTGGCTCACAGAACAGTCCTGGCCACGTTGGTCTGAAGATTGGGTCCCAAGGAGGGAGTGGCTTCTAGCTAGGTGAGCAAAACCCCTCTGGCCAACATTTATAAAGGGACTTTTTCAGATGACTCCAAAACTGTCCCATCCCTCCCCTCATGGGCTTCTGAATCTAGCTGGCAAGTCTAGCATCACAGACCTATGGAGCTGAAAGGAGCCTCACAGGTGGGGATTCAGCCCACTCATATTTGACAGTGGAGGAAATGCTTAGCGCTTGCACGCATTGCCCACGGTTCCTGCCCATGAGTGGTAGAGGTAGGACCAGAACCGATGGAGTCCTGACTGCCAGAGACTGATTTTGATGACACTGTATATTCACATCGTCAGTGCTCAAATGGTGCCATTCCCCTGTGTGGGATTAGCTCTTTTGTGAGATGTTCCTTGACTGTTGTCTAAACATGACTAGAAATAGATAGACGTCCACCCCAAGGGGCAGTGGGAAGTAACCCTAGCCTTAGGGTTAACTGGCTTCCTTATGCCTTGGTGACCTGAACAAGACCTTTCTTGGCCTGTGTCTTCCCTGGTCAAAAGCTTGAGGCTAGAACCCACACTCCAGGAAGGAGGCACAACAGCCCAAAGTTAGAAGGATGGAAATAATAAAGAACAGAAATAAATGACAATGCCAAACAGAAGAGATTAAGTAAACTAAGAGTTGGTTTTTGAAAAGGTAAACAAAATTGACAAACCTTTTGTCTAAACTTACACAGTCTAGACAAAGTAAAGGAGACATCACAATTGCAAGCTCATAATACAAAGAATCACCCCACCCACTGCGTGGCATAAATCACCCTCTCCTTTGAAAACTATAAAAAAAATGGAATGTTTCCAAAGGAAAATCCAGATGCTTCGTACCAGCTATACAGCCCCAAGGTTTCTTCAGGGAATTCAAGAACTAGGGCTGGTGGCCGCTGAGGGAAAACAGGAGGAGGTGAGAGGTGTGTCTGGGCTGAGAGTTGACTTCCCAAGCTATGCTGAGTGAAACCCAGGACTTGGTGAAATTCCTTTGAGGAATTTTGTCAACACAAAAGTATGTCTGGGCCCTACCCAGGGCAGTGGGAGCTCAGCAGACTCTGACCCAGAAGATTGGGAACCCCACATGTGGGATTGCATGGCCACTGAAAACATCCTTTCCTCCCCACTCCTGGAAGAGATCAAAGAAAAGCCAGGTAGAGCCAGGCCAGATTCCATAAAAAGCCTAAAAGCAGAAAGAAGGACTTAGAGTGAAATCACACACCCTCTGGGAAGGCAAACCAAGGGCCATGTATGTCCAGCCCTGCAAAAGCAGCAGCTGAAGCAAAGGCAGAGCATCAACGGCCATCTTGGGTGGCCACAGGGTTAAGTGGGCACACGCTCACCCACCGCACAACACATTGCAGACTTTGAGCCAAGAGCAAATTCCTCAGAGTGTGAGTCTGGAAGTCCAGAAATTGCCTTTCACACTAGGAGGCCCAAGCTTTATAGACGACAATTTCTAGAAGAAAGTAATAATGGGGGTAGGGAGTAAAGACAACCTAAGCACAGAACACAGCATAATTGTGGAATGAAATAAGAGGGAGAGGGGACTAAAGTCACTCCTCAGACTGAGATTGAGTATTCAAGCCCTAGACTCCCCTCCGACTGCCACCTCACTCCCAGGTAAACTAAGAAGAGGACAAAGATAAATCCCTAGTGCCCCAACCACATACCCACACACAAATGAGGCATATACATGCCTAGGAAACAAGGAATACCTCAACCAAGATGGAAAAGCCAAGGGAGAAGGACAGAAGTCATGGGGCAAATATAGAGGGGACAGAAGTAGAGACAATGGCTTCAAAACAACAACACTAAATATATATATATATATATATATATATATTTAAAGATTTATTCATTTATTTATACAAGAACTGGGGTACAGGCCAGATGCATGGGAGGGTGAGAGGATTCACCAGAGACAGAGCAGGGAGCAGAACAGGCAGACTGACGAAATACACTGCTGAGGGGAGCAGCGGGCGAGACAGGAGAGGTCTGCTGCACCATGTGGGACCCTCGCCGGCCGGAATCGAACCAGTACTGCAGAGGCTGCGGACAGCTTCACAGCGCTGCGCTCAACCACCTGCACCACCAGGGGAGGCCCATCAATACTAAAAATATTAAATGAGACACCAGAAGGCCAGTCAAAGGCAGAAGGGCAGATGTAAGCTCTCAGAAAGGAGATCTAGGAACAGAGTTCTTCACTAAAGAGATTGACTATATTAAAAGATCACAAAAGAATGAATGAAATGCAAACAAACTTAGTGCTATAAATAGAATAAAAATGGCAGAAGAATTTCAACCATGGAAAAAATGAACAAATTACACATTGAGAATGTCAAGAAAAAAATGAGGAAAATCATAATATCAGACTCAATTAGAAGAGGAAACCTATGAATGATCAGGTTCCCAGAGGGGAAGAAAGAGAAATAGTAGAAGCCCTATTCAAGAAAATAATGAAAACTTCTGAAACCCACAGAGTGATGACGGAAGTCCAGTGACCACAGAGAACAGCTAAATCCTTTACTCAGACCTACACCCATCATTGCAAAACTATCACAAATAAAAGATAAAGAAAAAAATTTGCAGGAAGCAAGGAAAAAAATAACTTCTAAGGGCTCCCAAATTAGGGTTTCCTTGGATTTCAGTCTAGACACTCTCCAGACAAGAAGTGAGTGGAAGGAAATATTTGCAATCCTAAAAGACAAGAACTGTCAGCCAAGAATGCTCTACCTGCAAAATTATCAATTATGAAGGTGTAATGAAGGATTTCTCAGACAAATGGAAGCTAATAGAGTTTCCCATCACCAGACCTGCTCTTTAAGTAATACTAAAAGGACTTCTATAGGAAAAAAATCTGAAAGCCAAAATTCTTAGCAAAATAATAACATGAAAACCAGGAGCAAGAATACTATGAGTCAACATCACCAAATATTAAGGGGGAGGAACAAATGGGTAGAATCACTATAGTTAAATGTCAGAGAGCAGACACCAGCTCATAATGAACCTAAACATGGGGATTTAAGTAAAAACTAATAAAAAATCCAGAATTGGCATCTGTACATGAAGAAGCAAAGAAACTGACAAAAATACTATGGAAAGCCATCCAGAAAGAGTAGAGAGAAACAAAGGGAAAAAGAAACAACAGAAAAATAATCAAAATCAAAATGACTGAAAATAGTTCATATCAATTATCACCATAAATGTGAAGGGTCTGAATTCACCAATAAAAAGACAGGTTAACAATGTGGATGAAAGAATTCCAGCCATCAATCCTTTGTTTACAAGAGATGCATTTAAAACTGAAAGACAAATACTAAAAATAACAGTTTGGGGGCCTCCCTCGTGGTGCAAGAGGTTAAGATGCAACCTATGAAGCTATCTTCAGCCACTACAGCACGAGTTCAATGCCCGGCCAGGGAGCTACCCACATGGCACAGCAGACCTCTCCTGACTCTCCCGCTGCTCCCCTTAGCAATGTATTTCAGTCAGTCTGCCTGTTTTGTTCCCCACTCTGTCTCTGGTGAATCCTTTCACCTTCCACACCTCTGGCCTGTACCCTAGTTCTTGTATGCATAAACAAATAAATCTTTAAAAAAATAAAAATAACAGTCTGGAAGAAGATCATACGTGCTAATAAATCAAAGAGTAAATCAGGAACTGCTATTCTCATATCTGATAAGCTAGACTTTCAAACAAAAAAGAGGTAATCAAGGACAAAGGTGGACACTATAGAGTGACCAAGGGAACGACTCACCAAGAAGATATAACTCTTATTAATATTTATGCTCCAAATATAGGAGTACCTCGTGGTATAAAGCAACTATTAACAGGCATAAAACAATATATCAACAAAAATACAATCATTGTCAGAGACTTCAGCACACCACTGACACAAAGGGATAGATCATCCAGACAGAAAATTAACAAAGAAATAAAGGCCTTAAGTGAAGTATTAGATCAGGTGGATTTATTGGATATTTACAGAGTTCCCATCCTAAAAGCAATGAATATACTTTCTTTTCCGGTGCACATGGAACATTTTCAAGAATAGATTATATACAAGAATATGAAACAAGCTCAGAAAATGCAGAAATAGAGATGATATCAAGTATCTTCACAGATCACAAAGCGATACAACTAGAAATCAACCATAAAAGGAATCCTGGAACAACCCCAAATATGTGGAGACTAAACAAAATGCTTCTTAAAAACTCCTGTGTCAATGAAGAGATCAGAGATAAAAAAATTTTCTAGAAACTAATGGAAATGGAGATATAAGCTACCAGAAAACTCTATGGGATGCTTTAAAAGCAGTACTACACAGGAAGTTTGTAGCAATACAGGGCCACATAAATAAACAAGAAAGTTCTCATTTTAACAATAGAACAACAAAAGCACCCCAAAACAGAATCCAAAAAATAATAATTAGAAATAAAAAAGTTAAAAAAAAATCAGTGGACCAACCATGAGTTGGTTCTTTGAAAAAATGAAGTTAATAAGCCATTGCTATGCTTACAAACAAGGGAGAAAACCATAATGAATAGATTCAGAAATGAAAGAGGCACGATTACGACAGATACTGCAGAAATACACAGGATCATAAGACTATTATAAAAGTCTCTGCGGACAAATTGGGCAACCCAGAAGAAATGG